CACAGTTCTTTTTACATAGCGCGCTCCTAATGAGGTTAGCATCAGTGTCAATGACTTACGGAACCATTTATTTTGCGGATTCATTTACAGCCACAAGCTCACTCAGTTCATATCTTTCAATGGACAGAGCGAAGACTTTGGTCAGGTATCAAAACACCAGAATTGTGAGAAGAAGAAACTATCTGCAGTCAGTACTACGGCATGTGAATCTGCGGATTCAGTCCCAGATCCACATATCAATGTAATACAAACCATAGGGGAGCCAAGTCTGAGCAGTGTAGAGGAAGTGATCAAGAGACAAAATAAGGTAAATGAATGGTTCATAATCACACCTAGGTAAAGAAAAGTAAGAAAACAGAACATAAGCTCTGCGGTTGACGCTGAATTGAAATAGGACTGTAAGGAAGAGATGGTTTCAGGAACTAAAATTCCACAGCATGTCAAGATAGACCTCCTCGAGAGGTCAGCCATTTTTCATGAGTAAAGAGAATATTCCGATAAGGAACCAAAGGTTAGATTTGAGCACGACTTCAGTCGTATTATTTCCTTAATAAGCAAGCTACCCCGAAAGACAGTTTCAGGAGTTAGCATCTGTAAGCTTTATAGGATAGGACAAAAGATGGATCCTGAAATTCCTGAGAAAGGCCACCTCTTGAAGGTTACATTTGCCACGGTTGAAGAAAGGAACCTGATTCTAGGTAACTCACGTAAACTGATTAGATCCGGCATATACGTCTGTGAGGATCTCAGCCTAGCTGATCGTATTAAGAGACGGGCTGCAGAAGTGGAAATAAACGAGCGCCGCCGAAAAGGTGAAAGAAACTTCGTACTTAAGGGTTTTCAAATTGTAAAAGTTCGGAGCCAGACGATGCTCAAACCACTCTGGGTAGCAAGGGAAAGTTCTCCACAGACTTAAAGGTATGCTACACAACTTCCCGCAGCCTACTAAATAAAGTAGTGGAGCTCAGGTCAATGGTGGATAAAGAAAAATCGGATGTTATTGTTGTCTCAGAAACTTGGTTAACGTCTGAAGTATTATATAATGGAATTCGTTTGACTGGTTTTTATTCAGTAGGACTGATAGATTAAACCGTAGGGGAGGCGGGATTATCCTGTAAACGAAAAGTATCTTAACCATGCAACCAGTTGAGACAGTGGCACACGTTGCAGGGAAATGTGAATTGGTGTGATGCAAGCTGAAATGTAGACGGAAAGATATTGAATTAGTTGTAGTATATCGCAGATCAGAATGTGTAGTAGATGATTTCCTCCTAAGTAAAATTAAGTCCTGGTGTAACAAGGGTAAAAGCCTTGTAGTAAGCAACTTTAATGCACCGTATGTAAACTGGGTTAACTTAAAAGTAGGGTCATCGATAACGTCATTCAATCGCAAACTGTTATAAACCTCGATTGGATTAGCTTTATTCCAACACTTTAGAAATCCCACAGGATATGACTTAAGAAACGCTTCATCTCTTTTAGGTTTAGTCTTCACACACGGTGATGACGTTGATCAAATGATTTTCCTCCCACCACTAGGGAGAAGTGACCATGCAGTCGTATTATTCAAATTCATGGTTGAAATTGCCTGTTAAGCAGTTGCGCCGGCCCGTCCTCATATATGGAAGGCAGATATGGAGGCAGTCAAACTGAGAAATTGACTCAATGGCACCAGTACAAGAGGCATGGACTCATTTCAGGCAGTTATACAATCGGGTAACTCAACCATACATACCCTGGACAGTCCCAAAGAAGATGAAGCACGGCCATCCCTTGAAAGATCGGGATATTCGACGTTAACTAAGACAAAAGAGGAAATGTTGGAATGTTGATATCTGCCTTGACACAGCAGATACGATGGAACGTTACAGATTGGTAAGAAGCAAGTGTAGAATCAAAACTACGGTTTGGATGTTAAAGAATAGCCGACCAGGGACTTTAGACACGCGCCCTTCCCCGTCGAAATCAAAACAAGTAATCGGGTAAATAGCGGCTCTATAATTCATCATACATTTAAATGTAAATCGTTACCTAAACAAATATTACCACCCGGCTATTCAACCAATAATTGTTCAATCAATCAAATCTAAATTACAATAAATAAAGAAGTTGATAGAAGATGAGGGAAAATTACCAGTCACAACAGATGAACGTTATTCTATCCTGACTGGATAGAACACACACAAAAGGAGGAGCAAATCAATATCGCTACCGCCAAGAACAAGTATCGAGTAAAACAACACAGATGCAGTTCAGGAAGAAACACAAACTTAGTGAATGCGTAAGAAAAACAAAAACTATAATAAAAATATACAAGTATTAACGATTCAAATGTAATCAAAATGCAACAACGTACAACTAAGGAGATCAATAGGAACAAAGTATAAGTATATACAAGGAGGGATTTTCACAAACACACAAAACCTTCAAAATGGATGTTACAGCAAGTGTATAACTAATATTCGGGAAGCTCAAAGAAAATATGAAATGCAGCTGGCACAATCTGCACTCAAGCAGCCCAAAAGAATATTCTCGTACATAAACTACAGAAAAATGATGTATTAGTGGATTCCTAACATAAGTAAAGAAAGGAGTGAATTTGAAATGATGGGGGACGATCAGGAAAAAGCAGAGTCTGTAGCGTGGCGTTGAGTTGAGATTAACTATGAACACCGCTACAAAGAAATACGTGCCAAATGAATCAGAAGGCGAAGGTCGAACGTAACCAAATAGATCCATAAAATCCCCGAGAAGCCAAATATCAGAAGACAGTTAATGGACCAAATCGAGATATATTCGCTGGCGATCTCGTGGCATCGAAAGGATACCGAGATCGTGCCAGGATAGAAGCTTGGTTACAGAACGTAACCGAATTCGAGTGAAGTTACAATCAAAGTGTAAGTATAAGAATGGAAGCACAAAATAGCCGTCATTAGCACAGTTAAACAAAAGCACATTAAAACAAACACTGGTACAGTTGGTTATAATAAGAATTGTTTCTATTAAACCATTCGTGTTCTCGTGATAAATGGTGAGTCACTATAAGTCTATGGCTGACCATTTAGGGCAGTTTTCACTCAGCAACCTACTCTAGACACAGAGCCAGACCAAAATACGGAGTCAACAAACCACCTGCTTACCATGGACTCCTATCAAGACGTTGTACTTAATGCTCTTAGCACCATAGACATATGAAAAGTCAAAAGGACCAGATGAACTACACCCTAAAATCTTGAGACAGATTGCACAATGTATCGCGGCCCTACTGATTGTGATATTCGATATGTCACTTGACCAAGGTGTGTTACCTATGGACTGGAAGGGCGCAATCGTCACTTCCATACATAAAACAGAACCAAGACGACTTCTATCAAACTACAAACCTTTAAGCCTCACCAATGTTGTAGTTAAGATATTGGAACAAATAATCGAACGGACCATAATCACATTTATGGAAACCAATAACTTGTTAAACAGCGAAAAACATGGTTTTAGAAAGGGTTTATCTTGTACAACGAAGCTTCTTAAGCAAGGGGATTTCGGACAAAGGCGCTATACAGTGGAAACTCAGTGAATGTTGTCTACATAAACTTCAGTAAGGCTTTTGACAGGGTGCCTACTAATAAACTGCTATTGAAGTTAGAAAATCTTCGCATTGCCGGACCTTTTTTAAAATGGCTTAAGGATTTCCTAGTAGGTCGTGGACAGAAAGTAAGAGTAAATTTGAAGTGCCTTACCTGGAGACCAATACTTGGTGGAGTACCTCAAGATTCTGCACTAGGTCTTTTACTTTTTATACAGTATGTAAATGATCTCCCATGTATAGTACAATCGCCAATGTTATTATACGCCGACGATTTAAAAATCTAGCGAGAAATAACGGGAGACGCAGATACTTGCACACTTCAGATAGACTTAAATATGGTGATTAACTGATCTAAACAGTGGCTGACGCCTATCAACGCGGTAAAATGTGTCTACAAAACCTTTGGTGATGCAAAGTTTAACAGATAAAACATAGGGGAAGTGCCTGTACACGTGGTCTGGTCTCACAAGGATCTTGGGTGTCAGTGAGTTATGACCATAAGACCACGGCCCATTTCCGGGAAGTCGCAGCTCAAGGGTTTGGAACTCTATTGACTTTAAGGCGGACATTCACCAAGATAAATACTACCATGTTCACTACAGTATACACAACCTTAGCAAGAACTAAGCTTGAGAACTGCGTTCAGGATCCAAGCCCCTGCCTAAAAGATGAATATGGTAACTTAGAAGAGGTAAAGAGGGCAGCTACCCGTGCAATTCGAGAACTCTGGTGTTTGCCATACAAAGAGCGGCTTGAAATGCAAGAACTCTTTGCTCTGTCCTATCGCAGACTAAGGGGAGATCTAATTTCGATGTACAGAATACTGAGAAATGATTTTAGACCTAATATATTCTCTCTTTTTCTTCCCACTAGATCGGGATATCTCAGAGGACATGGCAGGCGAGTAGAAAAGCCAAGAACGAACAAATTACCCGTGCCATACAGGTTTTCACACCGAGTCATAATTACTTGGAACCTTATGAAGAGCGCCTCTAATCACTTAATCTTTACCCATTAGAGTATAGGAGTCTTAGAGAAAACCTTCTGATGGCTTACAGTATCCTTAACACTTCTGAACATCCCCTTAAACACCTACTTAAGCGTAGTCCCAATACCAACCTAAGGGGTAACACCCAGAAATTGGAGATACAGCTTAACAGAACGGACTGTAGACACAACTTCTACTCCTTAAGAGTTGTCAAATGCTGGAATTCCCTGCCGACTGAACTAATCCAAGCGACTTCCCAGGAGTCCTTTAAGAGGAAACTTTACCTATTCTTAAGGACTCAGGCTAAGATCTTATTATGAGTTACCAATTTCTTTTTTTCTAATCTATTATAGTTTATATACCTAGGTTCCTGCCTGGAGGTAATGGTGATCCCCTGCTACCAGACACGAAAGCTTCTGTTCCGTCCACAACCATTTGAACCATTTGAACCGTTTGAAGCGCAAGCGTTTAATGGGTACGTTGCATATGAAGTAAATATGTTTCTTATGTGTTTGTAGATCATATTCTTAGTATACAGTAAGCAGCTTTTTAATTGAAGCCTAATGTCTGAAATAGTAAATTTGGTGCTTGATATTTAAGAGTTCATAAATCTAGTGCCAGCTTTATAGTGGTCGAAGCAAACAAAAATGTGAATTTAAATGTTTTATTATTGCCATTTATTTTATTTTATCCACAATAATAAATTGCCTCGAACCTCGATATTTCTAAACATATATAATCGCTGATTGTGAGGAACTAAATGGTTCAAATGGTTATGGACGGAATAGAAGAAGCTTTCGCTTAACAGGCTTCCGTGTCTAGTAGCAGGGGATCACGAAATCCTCCAGGCAGGAACCTAGGTATGTTAACAATAAAAGAGGAAAAGAAATTGGTAAATCATAGTGTGATGCTGTCCTTGGTCCTTAAGAATAGGTCAAGTTGCCTCTTGAAGGACTCCTGAGAAGTCGCTTGGACTAGCTCGGGCGGCAGCGAGTTCCAGCTTTTGACAAAGCTTTGCTGAAGTCAATATAGACTACATCTTCAGGTAACATTCGGTCTTTATGAGCGCACCAACTTTCACGAGCCAATAATAAGCTAGTGAGACAGAAATAACCGTGCTACTTCTCAGAAAAAATCCGGGATACCGAGATACGTAAACAGCTTCCGAATAATCTTTTCTGAAATTTTAACAATCACACTGGCTAGGCTAACGGGTCGATAGTTCTCACATTTATGTTTCGTATCTGTTTTGAAGACAAGAGTTCTTATGGCGTTCTTCCAGTCTTTTGGTGATCGACCCTGGGTTACGGATAGATTGAAACCTATACTTAGGGGGTTCACAACGAAGTTAGCTTGCTCCTTTAGTGATCTAGGATGCATTTCACCGGGTCCCATGGATTTGCATGTATCAAGCTTATTTAGCAGACCAAAGACATCGATTTCTTTAGTAGTCACATTGTCCAGTGTGTGTGGGGGGTTTGTATGAACTGTCAGAAAGGGTGTCTCCGCGGTATATACGTTGCTAAAGTAGTGTGATAATGCTCGAGTCTTACTATAATCGTCCACTAATGATGAATTATTACTGTTTCCCCGTAGTGCTGGAGTATTTCCTCATCTTTTGGTCCTTTGGTTTATGTACGAGTACAAGCGTTTTGGGAATTCTATGGATTCTTAAACAATTTTTTCTTCTTACAACCTTCTAGACTCACAGAGGGTCGAAGCACAAATATTTATAGCTTCTCGATATTAAGATTTTGTCTCATCAGTACCCAGTAACCTAAATCTCCCCCACATTCTTCTCGTATGGGGAAGGATGCGAACCTCCATGCTGAAGAGTTACTCGGACCCCTGGGTGTAGTCCATGGGATATGTAGAGCAGTAACTTTTCCGTACGTTTTGAAGCCAAGACAATAAACCTATATTTCTTCTGAGTATATTTTTTACCAAATAGTTCAACTGAATTACTACCGAGAAACTCAGAACACCGTGTTACAACTTACTAAGTGATGAATATAGCCAAACACAAGACATGAAGTCGCTGACTACTCGTTAGAGTCGTATACAGAGTTACTGATTTTCCAATTGCGGTTTGTGCGATAATTGTTATCTGTGGCTAAAGATATCAGGCGATATCGATTAAGTTGGACCGTAACAAAGCGACCATTTCATCCTGTCTTCTAGAGTTAAACACTGGTAGCATACCAGTATTTTCATTTCTCAACCTCCTTCGTTTCTTTGGAACTACATATTTTTTCGTGTCTAGTTTTCCGCTTCAAATAATATTACTACTTCCACTCATTTGTTTTTCATCCTGTTAGTTTCCGTTTTTTCTGATATAAATTGCAGCATTTTGGGTCAACATGTTTGCGTTAGGTTTCGGGTTTTGTGGAATAAACATTGGTTAGCGATTTGCACTCGAGTTGTTAAAAAAGTATCCCTAAATTAGGAATGACAAGTTCTGAATTTGAACATTATCCCACTTGTTAAGGTACGAATTAGTCAGCGTAGTTGGTTGTCTACAAGTTCCTTTTAAGACTCGCATTTCAATTAATTTACTACATCCTCACTGTGCTGTTCACATATTGTATTCCTTTGCCAATGTTTCAACTGAAAAATTATGCGATTTAGTTATAATAAAATTGTCAGGCAGTTATCCTACAGATATTTTATGAGTGACTAGCAGTTAGATCTTACTTATTGGTTGATTTAATTTACCGTGAAGAAGTGGCCTTCGTTTAGTCACGAAACGTCGGAAATTTAAATTCACACTCACTAGGTATCACAAATATATCATTATCTCCAAGGAAGGGCAAGAGGTTGGCCGTATTATTTTTGGACACAAAGTTAAGGACTGAATTAGTGGATCGTCAACGCCTCAGGGGTACACAGGTTCTTGATTTGATCTCTTGTTGATCCACTTCTTTTGACTGTATAGATTTATTTAAAGCTCGAATTCTTTGGAGTTAGTCAGATGTTCTTGTATTGAGCTAGTGATAGCTTTTCATTACCCTTCTAAGAGCCATACCGTGTAATGTTCTGAGACTCGTTTGGAAAGTTTTTGAGTTGTGCATACATTGTAACCTGCCCCAGCGGCAGTCCAAAAGAAACCTCTCTTTAGGCATGCCAAACTTAAAGGATATACGGCTGCTGAGATCTGGAATAAACAGATCTCAAAATCCTTGAAGAAAACCTAGGCTAAGCTTTGTAATATGATTATTTTATTATTGACTAACAGATTTTTGTTCGAAAATTCCTGTCAATAGTTTATAACCATAATGTTGTAGCCTCCTTTACGGAATAATAATTTAATCCTTGTTACAGTTATTAAGCCATCACTTAATTTTGCCGTACGTTTATATCTAGACTAACACAATATATAAGTCATCGATAAATATAGTCGTGGGTTTTATTCAGAATTTCAAAGAATCATAGAATATTTTCGTTTAAAAATGTATATTGACTTGAACAGCTAACTAAGCCAACCATTCTAGATGGTTCATAAAACGTCGTTACTATTGACTTATATGACGGTCGTTCACTGTTACAGTAAGATGTAAATCTTGGGCAAATGGTTGCAGTGCATCCGTAAGAAGACTATTGGTGTGGTGTGTTATTGGGTCTCGACCGGTAGTCACATGCTGTCAAAAGTGATTCTAAAAGCAAATCGTTCTTTTCTCTCATTGGATCTCAAATTTTTGATCGCATAATATTTCAGATTTTTGTAGCCATTGAAATTTAATATCTTAATAATACCTATTTCTTGCATAGTTTAATGTCGGGTCAGCTGTCGAAATCATGCACAATCATGCAGGTAATTTTTTCTTCACAGCGTTTTCCTATAAAGGTAGTATGGTTCTTTGTGATAATTTTTAGTTTTTGCGTGCTTTAACGATTAATGGATTCTGGACATTAAAATATGAAGTTATCAGATAAGAATTAGCCAATTAGCGTGCGCCAACGCAATCGTGCATGCTTTAATCCAATCTATGTCCCTCTAACAGTTAGCAATGCAAATTAGAAGCATTGTTTGCTACGGATTATTGTAATAGTTGATTGACCGTATTGAATTGATCATCTACCATTTTGTATTTATGTTATAATGAAAATAATCTTTAGTTATCCTCAGTTTTGTCCCCAAATGTCGTGGTACGGCCGAGAGTGGGGAGGGTCAGCTCTCTCTCTCGAAATGCTCTAACATGACCACGCGTATACAGCAACTACCAGGGAAGTCCCAGTCATTTCTATCTCGCGGCGGAAGTGTTGTATACTAAATTAGGAGGACAAAAAGCGAATATCTGGGTTGGTGGACATAGAGTCCACCTAGGGGAGTTGGGGAACCTTGATTCCAAACCAATTGTCCACATGGACTCCAGGATCCTAAAGAAACATATGTAGTACGAACCAATCGTTGGTCACCGGCTACCATGGGACTACATCTCACGATGTTGCTCTACTGCCTTGTGAATCAGACCTATGGGTCAACGGCTCCTGGTGTGACCCCCTAAGGAAACTACTTACTTTGGTTTGGGCACCCGGGCAGTATCATAGCACACACCCAAATCAAGCGACTTGTGTGGCGCATATGTATTCGGTGCCCCTTTCTACCAATATTTATGTGTTTAAATAAATAAAATAAATAAACTAAATTGCAAGCCATAACTATTATGAGGAAGTTAACAACTCTGCCAACCTGCTTTGGTATGTAGGAGACAGTTGAAACCTATACCTCAGTGGTTATAGTTTAAGAACCTAAACCAGTGAGAAACTATTAACAGTACTAGCGTGATAAACCCCACCATTAATTTAAGCTTGAGTTGTTTAAAATTTTTTATCTTAGATATCAATCCCACGGTTGGACTTAATAGTTTTAAATAAATTGAACACTGGATAGAAAGTTAATAATAAATATATTTTTGTGATATTCCAATGAAAAAGTGATCCAAATTCAGTCACGACAAGTCGGAAATACAATTTTATGCTCATTGGGATATCACGATACCTAAAAGGTTAGCATGGACCCTGTGCAATGATCCATAATTGTGTTTTCATAACTTGTTGCTAATTGTTGGGAGTTAGAACTTTTCACTTAGTCCAGTTAATTGGATGTTCCTATGTAGCATATAGTGTACTAGTATACTGATACTTATGAAGTCAACCAATTAAAGTCCTCTCAATCATAATCATTTTATGCGGACATGAAGTTGCTTCAATCTATCACTTTCATGACATGTTCTACGAATGTCTTCCCATTGAATTCCACGTCGTGCATTATTTGCCGACCCTGGGACTGGTTGGAAAAAGCAAAGAGGTGGTCAGTGTATGACATGGTGTGGTGGTATGAAAAAAAGCTGTACAGGACTGGCTCCTGTCGGTCCTTCACAACTTTTTTGCTGGGGTCCTAGAGAAGGTGCAACGTTATAGATGTGCGACGTTATCAAATATAGCTCATAATGGAAGCCAGTGGTGATCCTGCTGTTACTTTACTTTCTTCACAAAAGATGGACGTAACTTCTTTAACTGGAAGAATTCTTTCTGGTTGTACCTGTGCTAACTGAACCGCCCCTCCAATTATTATTATTTCACTATCATACACTAATTTCTGTTCGTTACTGTTCCCTTCTTATACGCGCCTTACATTCTTTATCTCTTCATATGTATCTGGTGCCCATTTGTACTAACATTTGTGTTCAAATAATGATAATTCATGACATGTTCAGGATGCATCTGATAAAATCTCTTTAAAGTGTTTCTACTCTTTTACTGAATGTTTTTGTGCCAATGATATATCATTTTATTGTAATTAATACACAGAATTTCTAAGTTTACTTCTTGTGCTTAACGTAGGATCCCGTCTCAAACCCAAATATTGAAGAGGCCACTTATGATAGTGACAAAAATCCTCATGGAAGATGTACTTCATCATTATATGAAGATGATGTAAAAGTTATGGAAGTGAACGAAAAAAACCTGGGTAAGTAAAATACTCTGAATCTAATTCATTTGATTGTGGTTAAGTTAAGAGTTTCACTTTATCAACAAATGTTTATTGGTTAACCCATTTTTTAAGCTTCCGAAGTAACAAAGTCAGTTTTTATTTCTTAATTGGAAATAAAAATTGATCGTTTATGCTATAGCAAATGTGTATCATTTGTATTTACGAAACCTACTAACTGTTTCCAATCAGAAACTACTATTTATTACCGCAAACCTAAAATGATCAAAATTCAAATATGGAAATGCCATTTTGATGTGCAATATCTAATGATTAGCTAGAATGTATATTTTATGTTTGTTCCAACGGTTAATATTGTTTGAAAGCTGAGATTAGTCTGAAGTTACCGGCATACCATTATATTTGAACATAACTAGCACTGTATTCAAAAGTTTATCTCGCTATAGTGTCGCAAACAATCTTATATCTTGTGTAGTTCTGATTTTTCAAGCATTCTAAATGTTTAATTATAACTGACGATATTCACTTAGGATGTAAACAAAAGATAATCGGATCGTAATGAGCTTTGGTATTGGACTTTAGTATTAGCGAAGAAAAACGATCGAGAGTTAGAAAGTCGAAGTGTTCAAATAATTTATCTAGTGAAACAGAAGTAAAGAATATTAAGCAAAGACCATCTGGTAACAAAATATAGCGATTGCAAGAAGGTTAAAATAGCTGGTCAACAGTTTTGAAGACAAAAACTAAGTTCACCTTCATGAATCTAGAAATGTGAAAATATGGGATGGAAATGGTTTTAATTTAGCATCCTAACCTTCACATTCAACTAACTATGCATATTAATTATGTTGACTGGAGTTATTTCATAAAATAACAAACATATAAGTTAAATTTTACTGTTAGGAATAACATGCCCATTATGGAAATTTAAAATCGTAGATTTGTTAGTAAGTAGTTTATTGTTAGTTTGCACGACAAATGGGATAGTTAGTCATTTTCACTAAAGTATTTCCCTCTAGTGTAGTCTCAAAACGTCATTTAGCTGACTTAGTTTTATCTCCATTGGATGAGTTGTGGTTCTATCGTCAGATGTATTCAATAATGTTTTTGTTTATCTCCTATATTTAATATATAAGCCTCATCATATCAAGATTCTGAGTACACGCGATCTTCTGATGGTTCACAATATTCAGTTGGACGTAGTAAGGATAGTCCTATGGAAGTAAGTTTCTTTTCTCTCTCTTAATTACTAGAAACTTTATGTTGTCCCACTATCGTACTGTTTCATATTAAAAATACATACTTAGCATCATATTCGTTAGCTTGTTGAGATTTAAACTGTCTGTGTTAATAGCTGTACCTCAAATGCTTAGAAGCATGTCATTGATTTGTAATTTAACTATAGCACTGTTTATTTACATTGAGGTATCTCCCCAATTATCATTTCATACGATTATTCTGGGATATTGCACTTTACTAGTGAGGTGTCACAGTAGTAAACCGAACATGATCAGTTCCATTTCAGATGAGTATAACATGATTTATATAAATACAGGTTTGATCTATAACTAGTTTCCCCAACTCCATTCAACTAAAATATCTGAAAGTAGAGGATAAAGATATTATCCCTTTTATATAATTTATTTCATGGAATACATTAATTTGTTTCGGCGATCTTTTAATTGAATATTTTGCTCAGTCACCAAATTCACTTGTTGATCATGTTTAGTTCTTTGATATAATTATTAGGCTTGACCACCACCGACCGTTGTTGCTACCTTGACGTGGTGGTCGGGCTTGCCTATCGTGATGAAGCAACCGAGCTATACTGGCTGGAACAACCGTTCCTCAAGGTCCTGCCATGTCAGACAGGTCGGTTGAAGAGCGGTAAGACTAAAAGCAACAAACCCAAGGTCCGAAGGCGAAGTCGTACTGCTGACTGTACAGAGGTGTGACAGCAGTAAGGTGTTTCCTTCAGACAACCAGCATGACAACGATGCTGCCTTCCCACAAGGAGGGGTGGGGTTAGAAAAGGTCGGCCCTAAAAATGCGCACCTCACCTTACCCCACGGATATCCGTCTCCGGCGGTAAGGTCTCAACAAGTACGGAGCTAACACAAAAATTACCCATAAAAAGGTCGTGTGTGACCGACCTCAAGCAGTTGTCCCTTGGGAACTGCGATCACGCTCCTAGGTCACTAAGACCACCTCTAATCCAAATTCCTTTTCAGGTACCTCCAGAAGAACCCTTCCATGGTTTGGGTAACCGGGAAGTGATAACCGCCCTCATACCTCGAACAGCACTCAAGACCACTGTATTCCTAATCAACCTCCGTCTTCACTTCCTATTACTCCTCCTACATCGACTTTAACCTCTAAACTTCCTTTTTCGGCTTCCAACTCAAATTTCACCATAGCCAACGATTCTAGTGCTCAAAACACTATCCCAGGTCTACTGAAACCTCGCTCAAAACTACACATTGGAGTCTTCAACGTACCCACCCTATGTCAAGTCGGTCAGCAGGCTTCCTTGGCTAGAACCCTAGAATCTCGTACCATTGATGTATGCTGTGTCTCTGAAACACGCATACAGGATCCCAGTGTGGTCATTCACTTGACCTCATCTCGGCAAAATGGAGAGCCAACGAGATACACTCTCCGTGTATCTGGTGACACGATGGTCAGCTCTCGTGGACTGGCAAGAGTAGGGATAGCACTAAGCATGAGGGCGGGACAAGCACTACTAGAGTGGATCCCCGTCAACAGTCATCTATGTGCTGTTCGGCTAAATGGCTCCATAAGAACTCGGAAGGATAGGGACACTCGTCGTTGCCTTTTTGTCGTTTCTGCCTACGCTCCCACCGACTGCAGCTCAGATAAAGTGAAAGATGAATTTTACAGAAAGCTATCTGAACTTCTTCAGAAAGCTAAACGTCCAGACATAGTACTCGTAGGGGGTGACTTTAATGCCCAGGTAGGTAGTTTAAACCAAACAGAAAGACATTTAGGTGGATATTTTAGTATTCCGGCACAACGAACAGATAATGGTGATCGTCTGCTGCAACTGTGCTCAAACAATCGTTTATTTTTAGCAAATACAAATTTTAAGCATAAGGAGAGACATCTTGTAACATGGCGATCCCCTACACCAAACCAACGATGGATTCAAATAGACCATGTTGCCATTAGTCATCGTTGGAGACGGTCGGTAGAAGATTGTCGCTCATTCTGGAGTACCTGCTTGGACTCCGACCATGCCCTCATACGAGTACGCATCTGCTTGCGCCTCACTGGACGCAAAAAAGCCACATTAAAAAGACCCGTTAGAACTGAGTTAAGTAGCGAGAAAACCAAAAGTAGGTTTCAGGAACAACTGAGGTCACACTTAGGTAGTTCTGAAAACGAGACTGACCCAGATGTTGCTTGGAAAGCTATACAAACAGCTGTGGAAACAGCAGTGACTTCTGTCAGTGATTTAAACCACAGGGTTACAAAGAACCAATGGATTTCCTCTAGGTCTATTGCACTGATGGATTCTCGTAAACTCATTCCATCAGGCTCTGAACACGATGAAGAGCGACAACAAATCAGATCTAGGTTAAGCAAAAGTCTAAGGAACGACCGTGAGCAGTGGTGGGCAACGAAAGCAAAAGAGATGGAAAAGGCGGCGGCTATAGGGAACACAAGACAGCTCTACAGACTAATAAAAGAAACTGGAATTAATAAGTCAAGTGTAAGTCAGACTATTTCGGAAAAAGACGACACCCTCATCTGCTTTCAGTCCAGACGTTTAGAACGATGGGCGGAACATTCCAGAGAACAGTTCAACTGGCCTTCAGCTACTCTACAACTGCTCTCCATTCCCAGGCAGTGTGAATGGAACATTGAAGTAGGTCCCTCAACTCTAGCAGAAGTTCAAAAGGCTATAGTTAATCTGAAACGAGGAAGGGCAGCTGGTCCAGATGGATTGGCTCCAGAGGTCTTTAAGGATGGTGGTCCAATTTTATCGATTAGGTTGACTAATATTTTAGCTAAGATCTGGGAGTTAGACGTTATTCCATCTGACTGGTCACAATCACTTATCGTCCCAATATATAACAGAGGGTCAAAATCATCCGGTGACAACCATAGAGGGATTAGTTTAACTAATATAGTATCTAAAATACTAGCCTCGATAATTATCAGACGCCTAACTAAGACTCGTGAACTGCAAACACGAGAGAACCAAGCTGGCTTTAGACCTGGTCGTGGCTGCATCGACTACATATTCACCATTCGTCAGATTCTAGAACACAGGCATACTTATCGACGTCCGACAATGGTGGTCTTTCTTGACTTAAAAGCAGCATTTGACTCGGTAGACCGCGAGATTCTGTGGCAGTGTCTGTCATTGAAAGGTGTACCCCAGAAGTACATAAACCTTGTAAAGGCTCTTTACTCGAACACTACTAGTCGAGTCAGAGCTTATGGCGAACTGTCATCTACTTTTGCAACCTCAAGTGGTGTCCGTCAAGGCTGTCCACTTTCCCCATTTTTGTTTAACTTCACCATAGACTTATTGATGGAAATAACATTCTTGTCTACTGAGTTCTCGGGTATTGATCTCCTTCCAGGAGGTCCACTTATCGACTTATTATTATTATTATTATTTGGACACATGAATATTGGTACAGGGGAGCGCCAATATATATGCGCCACACAAAACAATGAAAATTCGAGAGGAATACAAAGAAAGAAAAAAAACTAAGGAGCGCAACAAAAAAAAGAGAGAACAATAACGAAGAGATTGGTGTAAGGTAATGTGCTAGTAATCAGGGAACGCAAAGGAACAATCGGAAGAAATCTTTCAGGTAAGGGAGGCAGAACCACTTTTTATGAAGAAAGTAAAAGAAGGTTACAGCAGGATCGCCACTGGCTTCTATTCTGAGCCATATCTGATAACATCTCTAGCCACTGTTTAGCACCATCTCTCAGACCCCAACCAGGGAGTCGTGAAGGACCGACAGAAGCCAGTCCTTTGCAGCTTTCTTTCATGCAACGACACCATGTCATGCACTGACCACCTCTCCGCTTCTTCCAACCAGTCTCAGAGTCGGCAAATAATGCACGACGTGGAATTCTCTGGGACGACATTCGGAGAACATGTCCAAGCCACCGAAGTCGGTGTTTCAAGATGGTGACACCAATTGAATTATCATCTCTGTGCCCGAACACACGATGCCGAACCTCTGCATTACTGACATGGTGTTGCCACTGAATGTCAGCAATCCTTCGGAGACAGCGATGATCGAACACAGAGAGTCTTCTAACGTCCTCAACTCGGAGAGGCCAGGTTTCACAAGCATAGAGCTCTCACCGACGCGTTGTAGATCCGACCTTTTACGGCCAGACTAACATCACGAAGGCGCCATAGATGGCTCAGATTGGCATAAACCGCTCTGGCTTTCACTATTCGTGCATTGATCTCATCACTCACACCCCCACCATCACTTATACAGCTACCCAGATACACAAACTTCTCGACTACGTCTATCTGCTCACCATCCAGGGTGAGTACAGGATTGGAATCCTGCCAGTCTTGTAGAAGTACTTTGCACTTCGAAGGTGCAAAGCACATACCATACCTACGGACACTGATTGCCAACTGATTAAGTGCGGATTGCATGCCTTGGGCATTATCGCACAGTAAGACAATATCGTCCGCATACTCAAGGTCGAGAAGTCTTTCTCCAAGCAACAGATCCACACCACCATTACTTACATTCATCAGAGCTGTTTCCAGTATGTCATCGATGGCAAAGTTGAAGAGGAATGGTGAGATTGGGCAACCCTGTCTAACCCCACTGCTTGAATGGAACAATGGAGAGAGGTGGTTGTATGCCCTCACTCTGCCTGAGGTGTTTTTATACAGGGCTTTTAGGATGTTAATAAACTTCTCAGGCACACCCTTCTTCAATAGACAATCCCAGAGAACAGTCCTATCCAACGAATCGAAGGCAGCCCTGATGTCAAGAAACACTACGATTGTTGGTCTTTGAAAAGTATGGCGGTGTTCTAACATTTGGCGGAGGGTGAAGATATGATCAATACATCCTCGACCAGAACGAAACCCAGCCTGCTCCTCGCGAGTCAATCTTTCTCGGGTTTTGAACAACCTACGAAGAATGACGGAAGCCAATAGCTTGGACGCAATCGGAAGTAAACTTATCCCCCGATATTTGTTACAAGAACGACGTGAACCGTTTTTAAAGATAGGGACAACTATCGACTCATTCCATGACGTTGGTACACTCTCTAGTTCCCAAACCTTTGTAAACAACGTCGTCAATTCCTTAGTCAAAAAGTCACCACCATCTTTAAAAAGAGCCGGAGGTAAGTCATCTGGGCCAGGTGATTTGTAACGCTTCAAGAGTTGGAGTTCCTTGCGGACTTCCTCCTCATTTGGTGGATCAGTCGTCACCGGCCATGGAGGGCAGGACAGTCTGACCGATGTTGCCGGAGCAGCAGGCCAGTTGAACTGCCCTTCGAAAAATTCTGCCCATCGTCCAAGACGTCGATGGATGTTAGTGATTGGCATCCCATCATCCTCGCAGATTGTTTCACTCACACCAGACTTCTTGCTGCCAGTGGCTCGGATGAGCTGGAAGAGCTTCCGGTAATTACCAGATGCAGCTGCTGCTTCCAGCTCATTAGCACGCTTCGACCACCAGGCTCCTCGGTCCTTACGCAAGCTTTGCCCAATTTCCTTACGTAACATCCTTCGTTTATGGTCTGTGCAAAGTTGCAGTAGACGGTCCCCGTTATCTGACCTGCGACCAACGAGTCCCCATCGGCCACCTAAACGACTCTCTTCTGTGCCTAGACGCCCGACCTGAGCATTCAAGTCTCCGGCTAGTACTACAATATCTGTCGAACGCACTTTCTGGAGAAGAACTGATAACTGGTGGTAAAACTCATCCTTGATTGCATCCGGGCTGCAATCTGTCGGGGCATAGGCGGAGATGACGAAAAGACATCGTTTCTCACGCCGATTTCTTCTCACTTTGATGGAACTTTCTAATCTAACAGCACATAACCGACTGTTAATGGGGATGCAATCGACTAGTGCTGCCTCAGCTCTAGCGCTTAGTGCGACACCAACGCCTGCAAGACCAGAGGAAGATGCCACAGGGTCCCCGGATAAGCGCACGTAAAACAAGCTTTTTGAAGTGACAGATGTAGAGCGAATTTGTAGTACTTCGCTAGAGTCTTGAATACGGGTCTCGGATAGACAACAAACATCAATATTAAGACTTTCCAAAGACATAGCCAGCCCTATCTGTTGACCAACCTGCATAAGTGTGCGAACGTTGAAGACAGCCAGTTTGAATGGCGCACGTGGTTTCAGAAAAACTGCTTCAGTACTCATATTCGATGGTAACATACAACTTTCAACCGGACAGTGACTCGAGAACGTTTAGATACAGTCGGATTTCCACCAAAGCTGAGCCGCTGTATAAGTATGAAAGAGGGTGAATAATGTGGGAAATAATAATAATAATAATAATAATAATAATAATAATAATAATAATAATAATAATAATAATAATGATAGTATTAATAATGACAATAATAGTAATGATAATTATTTGAATCGATTGATTGTTTTTGTTTTTCGGAGCGATAAAAGTAGTTGCCAAAGACATAGAGTTCATCGTTTGTAAAGGCTCGACTTAGAATACGCGGATGACATAGTCCTGTTTGGCGAAGACGCTGATAGAATGCAGAGTCTTTTGGTAACACTGAGCAACAATGCCAGAATGTTAGGAATGCGCTTCTCTCACTCTAAATGCAAGTTGTTGCTTCAGGACTGGTCTGCGTCAACACCTGAACTAAGGATAGGGAGTGAAGTAGTCGAACGCGTTGACAACTTCACTTATCTTGGAAGTCTGATCAGCCCTAATGGGTTGGTGTCTGACGAAATCTCAGCACGGATTCGAAAAGCTCGTTTGGCTTTTGCCAACTTACGTCACCTATGGCGAAGGCGAGATATCCGTCTATCAATAAAAGGACGAGTATACTGCGCGGCAGTCCGTTCTGTTTTAATTTACGGCAGCGAAACATGGCCATTAAGAGTAGAAGATACTCGTAAGCTACTAATATTTGACTACAGATGCCTCAGAAATATTGCTGGCGTCTGCTGGGGTCACCGAGTAAGTAATAGTGAGGTTAGACGCAGGGTATTAGGGAATGATAGTAAACCAGTTGATGAGGTTGTGAATCTTCATCGACTGAGATGGTTGGGCCGCGTGTTACGTATGCCTCAACACCGATTACCACGACGTGCAATGCTAACCGGCGTTCGGGATGGTTGGAAGAAAGTTAGGGTTGGCCAAATCAAAACGTGGCATCAGTGCTTAAAGTCACTAACTTCTAGTCTGAGCCATGTTGGGAGATGCAGACTACTTGGTTGGGGTCCGCGTGACTATCGTAACCAATGATTGGAGACTCTTGGTGACATGGCTCAGAATCGATCACAATGGCGTCGGTGTATACACTCTCTGTCTTCCCTTAAACTAAGAGATTAAAATTGCTTCATATCTTCCTTTCTACGAACTAATTCATTCTTCCTGTACTATATCCTTATTGCAATCTTTCTTTTATATACTACCACCTCTGAATTAACTACTTTTATGAATCCGGTGTCAATTTTGTTGTGTTAATGAGGTATGGCAACTTGGACCGATGCATAAATATGCCTGGTCGTACGTTGTAGCTGACTGACTGACTGACCACTTTAACTAAAACGTTTCTTTGTTGAAATTTCAGTATATCAATAAGTTCAGTTAAGAAGTGATACAGTAAAAAGTAACTAATAATTTCATTTTACATAGCGAATTCGTTTTTCTGGCTGCACCGAAGTGTGATGGCATCTTGTACGACACTGTCTTTCTATTACGAAAAGGAGGTAGTGCCTAAACGGGTCGATATTGCTGTTGATAAGGTCTCCAATGTTCTGACAAGCTCTAGGGAAATAAGTATTTTAAAAATACTACACATGATGAGTTTGAGTAGGTATTGCTTAGGATCAAGTACTTCGGTGGCAGTAGAAAACAAAGGTTTTATCACTAAGGATTATAGATCATGCTTTTTTCAGTAAACTTCAATTTACAGGTTAACCCAGTCTACTGAACATGTTGCCGTTATCTCGTTTTACACGTTAATCCTACTGCAGATGGTATTGAATATTAACTTTGGATATGTTATGATATATCTCGAATAAAACGTGACCTGATTAAGCCAGTCGGCAATGAATTTTATTTGTCACAGTCACAAATAATCATTGTAGTACTCGTACAGCAGTTGACCTCTTAGAGGATTAGGTCGGTTTTACTTGGTCACGAAGTTGAATTAACTTAGTCAAAAACTTGTATTGTTGAACATCTTGTTATTTCACAGTTGTACAAATTCCTATTTTCTTTGAAAATATTTTATTCAATTTTAGACAATTTATTTGCTTATTTCATGCATATACGTGCATGCAGATATATATTTTGTGATATAAGAAGATTAAGAGAGACTTAATGAAATATTGAATACTGAGAATTTAGTATTGTACTAAACATATAATATAGAATAAAGTCATTACTATTATTGTTTGGTTAATTAGATGATGTTTTTTTCATTAGTACTGTCCGAATTTTACGGGTTCAGTCCACAATGTGGTCATTAAATGAAGCATCTCAACTTCAGATGATGTCGAGTGATTCAAGAGAAATGCTGAATGTAATTCCTGTTGTAGTTGTCGCTTATCAAAAAGACATTGTTATATTATGTATTGTCGTTTGTTTACTTAGTTTTTTCTTTTTCCCTCAGTTTTATGTTTCGTTACAATATTTTATAATATCAAGCAATACATTTGTATAGATATTTTTCGGCCACCAGGGTAGATTTTTGTACTGTTGGAATTTAAGGAAAGTTCAATCCTGACTTTTAAAGTGATTACCAGATTTTGGATTGCCTATTACTAAGAGTTATGTTATGTGGTATTAACTAAATTAGATTTTCAGTAGTTTGACAATATCTCGGATCATAATAAATGAACCTATTATATATATATATATATATATATATATATATATATCCCAAAAGTATTGTAAACCTGTTTATATCCAGTAAAACATTTCATCATTAATGTATTCTGTTTATACTTTCCAGGTTTATTGATTGTATCTACTGTTAATTTACGAATAACCTTAATTGTGTATCACCAACAAAATAGTTATAGTTTGAATAAAATCGACTCTAAAGAATTATTATTATTTGATCAGAAAAATGTTGTACACTTATTCATTAGATAGATATACGAAACATTAATTTTTTTCCGAGAACAAACAATTCAACCGTATTACTTATTCTCCTATTTCAAAGATATATGTACAAAGTCTAACTGTAACTATAACAAAACTAGTCTTTAATGTGAAACAAATAAGTTATAAGTATCAATTTTTTTAAATGATTAATAAAGATTCTATTATAGTCTTTTTTTAGACTAAATTTTTTTATTTATTATTCATTTTTATTAGAATATTTCACCTTCCGATATCTTATCAAATAATCAGGCGAATGGAGTCCGTTGGCGTCATTGTGTAAACAATGGTCAAGAGATGTACATTAACGAAGCAACTAATGAGAAAGTCAGTTTAAGGTTAATAATAATAACTATGATTGTTTTTAATTTTTATAAAAACTGGGAATTCATGTCTTTTTACTTTGGTTTTTCCGCTCATTTTAGTTACTCTATGATCATATACCATTAGTAGCTTAAAATAAATAAAAGTTATAGGTTGATTGTGATAGTCATTACACTTAAATAATCAGTTAGAAATTATTGATTGACAACTGTTTGTACTCACGTTTTCTCTTAATTTTATATTGGTAAAATATTTCAGTAATGTGTTTACTGTGAATTTAATAACTTAGACCAACAAACTGAAATGTTATTTTTCAATGAAAGGGTACTTGATTAGTAAATAGTGTTAATAGTGTTCGGTAAATAAATATTGTTTACTATGTTTTTTTGTGTTGGGAATTTCATTACCATCGTCTTAACTTGAACCTTCTCGAATATTGACCTTTTTATTTCGAAGTACATAATATCCCTTATGAATTAGCGATTTCAGTCACATCACTTTGAATTATATTCGAATAGTGATAAGAAGTGTAGTTTGGAGATATTTTACTGTTTACTTTCTTGTATGAGATTGATGAGGGTTTTTATGCTGAACAGGTTACTTGAAGTTTTTCAGAGAACTGTTGCAATGCTCATCGTAACATATAGTTTGCTAGTTGCTTCATAGGTAAACAGTTTGAAAATAACAAATCCGATGTTGCTTTTTAGTTCCTTCTACAGTTTTTATATTTCTAAGAACAGATAAATTTGGTGCTGCTTGATTGAATATCTCACTTGGAATGGAAGTTATCAGTATTGTGTGTCAGATATATGCATAAGGGAATGAGATCTTAGTTTTTTCTGTTTTAATTAAGTAGTACCATGTCAGAATTTTAGCTAAGTGTTTTTAAGAAATTCAGTATACTTAAAAATAATAGAAATTTCACGTTTGTTCATGATGGATATTAATGCAATAAACGAGCTATACACAAACCTCGTTTTCTGATTAATTTTAAGTGCTTCCTGTTAAGTAATTTGTAGCTGTGATAAATAGACATTTCTGCAAATTTAATTTTAAAAAAATTATAGTATTAAAACAAAGCGATAAATTTTCTTATACATACTTGATAGTTGACACAAGTAACTTCATGATGCGACAATTTTATGATGACTAGTTGTAAAAGTAAATAATTATTGTTTGCCTAAGTTTAAGTTTAAAGTCTTCTTCTTGTCCTTTTTCCTATCGAAATTTCTAGTGGGTTCCAGCAACTGATCAATATGGAAAAACATATTATTATGAACTAAACACTCGTCATTCCGTATGGGCACTTGAAGATTTAGAAACATCACCTACAGACGCGCCACATTCATCCGACTCATTGAATAATTATTTAGATATTAATGAACCGAATGCTTCCAAGGAAGCTTTTGACTGTTCAGTATTTGAAGATGATAATAATGGTTCTTATGTTGATCAGTATCCATCTGTATCTAGAATGTCAAGTATCAGTAAAGTTAATCGGAGAACAATGAGTCAATCTAAAGTGGTATGAGTTGCTTTTTAGTTCATTTTTTGTATAAATTAAGTTCCGCTTTTTATTCATGCATTAGTACCTTCTGTAAAAATGATTCAACATCTGCTACTACTTTTTTTAGTTAATTGCAATCAGTTACTTGATGTTCCTACTTCACAATTTTCTTGTGACTGAAATATAATTACTTGAAAGACAATTATCGTTTGCTAAGATTATCCCACTCATTTTATGCACTCAGTGAATTAAAAAAAGTAAGTGCTCACAAGATTTTTAAGCAAAGATGGATAGTGGCTAGCAGTGGAATCGAGGACGCGCGTTTCGTCCTATATGGGACTCGTCGGCTGGATATACCTGATATTCAAGATCGCATCCCAGAGTTGATGTCCACTCTTGGACTCAGACCCAGTACCGTTCGCTTCAAATGCCATCGCGTTATCCACTTAGCTACTGAGTTCTGATAACCACCTGCTTGTGCAATGAGGTGAAGTTTAAATTTACTTGGTGTTGTTTTACTTGTATATTCCCATTGTTATTTAGGACTGTAACTGGTCAGTCTCATGTTGGCATATGTGCATCCTGTGCGGATTGTCTCGATATAGCCTTAAGTCACTATCCATATTTGCTTAAAAATATGCCAACATGAAACTGATCAACTGGAGTCCTAAATAACAATGGGAATATACAAGTAAAACAACACCAAGTGTATTTTAAGTGCTATTAGCATTTTTAGTTACTTTGCTCCTGCCATATAAATCGAGTATGGTACCTTTATGTTTATTATGCTCTCACTAGTCATTTATGTTGTGTAAAGGCATCAATAATTTCAGTAGAGAATGTTCATCACATATTATTTTCATTTATTGCCCTCATAAACTCAATGCATTCTACTCTAATTGCTCAGAATGAACTCTGCAAAAACCAAGGATTCAACCAGGAAGTGTACATTGCTTTAGAGTTCATGCCACTCACGAAATTATCTTTTATTATTTATAAAAATAAAAGAGAATAAATTGTTTATTGCAAATTAATCGCTATTTTAAAAAAAAATATTTCAATATCAGGGTTTAAGTTGTTTTAGTGTTTAGTTAACAGTAGAGATTTCAAACGCTTGATTAGTGGACACTGAAATTATTTACCTCGTCAGCCTTATCAAGGATTCTGTGTACTCAGAGGTAGATACAAGTTGTTGAAAATGTAAAAACATGACTTTGAATCTATACTTATTTCTCGTTCGAAATACTGAATTTGAAACTAATAACTGCATATGCAAACATTTCTTTTTTGTTTTACAGTCTCATCGAAGTTCACATATACCTTCTGAAGTTTGTTCAACACAAGTTATCAATCGACCTTTCAGTTTAGTCAGTCTTGATGATCAAGATCAAGGAGCAGGTGGACGTTTTCAGATGAAGAATCTAAGCAAAGAACATATCAGTGGACCAAGTGAAAATAAACTTACGGTACACAAAAAGTTTTCTAGCTATATGTTCGTTTTCAAATTGATTCTCTAAAATCATGCTAATTACTTACTTTTGAACTGTGCTGAAATTGTGATACGTGTAGCTAGTGATTAGGATGTAATTGTCATTTATACTTTATTTTTTTATTTCTTAATGATCACTACAGTTTGTTTACAAATATACTTTACATATTTCTACATATTAGATTAAACTGGCTGCAACAATAGCTATTAATTAGTCAGAAATGGTGGATATATGCAAATGAAACTGTTGAAAAATACAAGTTTTATATAGGCTTCTAAGCATTATGCTGTCTATAGTTGTAAAATAATCACTTTTATCGAATATCAAATTCTTTTGGTCCCCATCTGTAAGCTAAAAGACTGGACCTTTTGAAGATAATCCGAAACTCAGACAAAGGTATCTCATTCCCTTGTTTAGTGTTTATTAGAATTAAGCAATTGGTTGTAGAAAAACACATCCTGTTCGATAATTCAACCCTACGCTCTAAATTTTATAATACATTTAGTTATTTGATACAGTAAAAATACTAACCTTTTATATCGATTCCGCAAAACATGTGTGGGTAATATAACGTTAGAAAATGTATGGTACCTGAGAAGAAATTTGAAATAGTCAAAATCATAAGCAAGTAGGAGTAGAGAATTACAGAAACCAAAGTTATTTGTTACTGACTGATAATTAACTCTGTTAAATATATCTTAGTGAGAATTGGCTTTGAATACGGTATAATTAAAAACTCAAAAATAAGAGTGCTAAAGTTCTCTTTACGGTGAATCGTTTACTCGATATTTTCCAACAAAATTTCATGGTTTAGATAAGCCAATAATTATTTCAGCTTCACCCTTTTAAGTTTAACTATTTTATCACTGATTCAGATTTTACTCTTATTATTTCGATTCGGATTGCTGGTAGTATCACTGCCCTTCATATAAACTGTGTAACCCAGTGTCGGGTACATAAAACTATCCTTAGGTCCCTTAATGCTCCGGTATGGCCGGAGGTGGGGAGAGTCCTTTTTCTCTCTCTCTCTCTCTCTCTCAAAATGCTCTCATATGGTCACACGTATATAGCTAGTGCCAGGGAAGTTCTGATCATTGCCTCCTAGAGGCAGGGTGTTGTTTACGAAATTAAGAGGATAAAAAGCGAATGTCCGGCGCTTTAACTGGGTTGGTGCGTGAAATTCTGTCCCAAGTCTATTGAAACCTCGTCACAAATTACACATCAGAGCCTTCAACGTACGCACTTTATGTAAAATCGGCCAGCAGGCCTCTTTAGCTAAAACCCTAGAATCTCGTACCATTGATGTATGCTGTGTCTCTGAAACACGCATACAGGATCCCAGTGTGGTCATTCACTTGACCTCATCTCGGCAAAATGGAGAGCCAACGAGATACACTCTCCGTGTATCTGGTGACAGGATGGTCAGCTCTCGTGGACTGGCAGGAGTAGGGATAGCACTAAGCATGAGGGCGGGACAAGCACTACTAGAGTGGATCCCCGTCAACAGTCATCTATGTGCTGTTCGGCTAAATGGCTCCATAAGAACTCGGAAGGATAGGGACACTCGTCGTTGCCTTTTTGTCGTTTCTGCCTACGCTCCCACCGACTGCAGCTCAGATAAAGTGAAAGATGAATTTTACAGAAAGCTATCTGAACTTCTTCAGAAAGCTAAACGTCCAGACATAGTACTCGTAGGGGGTGACTTTAATGCCCAGGTAGGTAGTTTAAACCAAACAGAAAGACATTTAGGTGGATATTTTAGTATTCCGACACAGCGAACAGATAATGGTGATCGTCTGCTGCAACTGTGCTCAAACAATCGTTTATTTTTAGCAAATACAAATTTTAAGCATAAGGAGAGACATCGTCTGAATGGTGACCCCCTTCGCCAAACCAACGATGGACTCAAATAGACCATGTTGCCATCAGTCATCGTTGGAGAGGCTCGATAGAAGATTGTCGCTCATTCTGGAATACCTGTTCGGACTTTGATCATGCTCTAACACAAGCACGCATTCGCTTTCACCTCTCTGGATGCAGAAAACCACATTAAGAAGACCCACTAGAATTCAACTGAGTGACGAGAAAGCCGAACGCAGATTCCACGTTGACTAATATTTTAGACAAAATCTGGGAGTTGGACGTTATCGTATCTGACTGGTCACAATCATTGATTGTCGCAATATATGAGAAGGGGTTAAAATCATCATGTGACAACAATGAAGGATTAGTTTCACTAACGTAGCATCCAAAATACTAGTCTCAACAATGATCGGGCGCCTAACAAAGACTCGTGAACTGTAAACACGAGAAAATCAGGCTGGCTTCAAACCTGGTCGTGGCTGCATCGACCACATATCCATCATCGGCGTCCGACAATGATAGTCTTTCTTGACTTGAATGTAGACCGAGAGGTTCTGTGGCAGTGTCTATCATTGAAAGACGTACATTAGAAATACATAAACTTTGTGAAGGCTCTTCACTCGAACACTACTAGTCGAGTCAGAGCTTATGGCAAACTGTCATCTACTTTTGCAACCTCAAGTGATGTCCTCCAAGGTTGTTCACCACCTCCATTTTTGTTCAGCTTCATCATAGACATACTGCTGGAATTAAAGTTCTCATCAACTGAATTTTCGGGCATTGATCTCCTTCCAGGAGGTCCACTTATCGACTTAGAATACGCAGATGATATGGTCCTGTTTAGTGAAGACGCTAATAATATGCAGTCTTTTGGTAGCACTGAGCAACAATACCAGGGTGTTTGCGATGCGTTTCTCTCCCTTGAAATACAAGTTTTTGCTTCAGGACTCGCCGAGTATACTCGTACGTTAATTGATAGTCGGATATCTTGCCTTTGCCATAGGTGACATAAATTGGCAAAAGCCAAGCAAGTTTTCTGAATCCGTGTAGAGATTTCGTCAGACGCCAACCCATTAGGGTTGATCAGACTTCTAAAATAAGTAAAGTTGTCGACTCGTTCGACTACTTCAATCATTATCCTTAGTTCAGGTGTTGGTGCAGGCCAGGAAAATAAAAAAAATCTCTTAGTGTTGGTTACAAATGCATATCATTATTTAGAGTTTGACAAATTTTGACAATATAACTTCTTTCTTCTGCAAGTACACAAAAAACCTATAGTTTGCCAATGAATGATTGATGTTGAACATTTAATTCGTTTTTTTAAATTATATTCATCAATTTGATAAAAAGAAAAAACACAAATGATTTTTATTGTAAATTTTAGCACTTTGAACGACGTGGTGCAGTTATTCGTACAATGTTAATTGAAAATGGCAAACGTATATCAAAAAAATGGATACCAGGTGTATTACATCTTAGTGGTCCATTACTTTTTTTATACAAAGATAATAAGCCTTCGTTACCTGTAAGTCAATTTTCAAATGGTGCTTAAATTATATTCAAGTTATTATTTTTTGAAAAATCTGTCAATTTTCATTCTTAGAGTGTATTTAATTGATTTTGGAATTTTATATCAATATCATGTACTAGCTTAGAATATTTTCTTGCATAGGAAATTGAAACTGATAATAAAATCATTTGTTGTGAACTAAATAATCATAGTAATCTTCCTTTATAAATATTCTTGATGTAGTATTATTAACCATTTATGAGCTGAATGAATATTTGATTAAATTACATTTATGTTTGAGCACACTAAATAGTTCATTTTCAAATAGTCAGTGTTAGTGGATAAGTTGAGAAGAGTATTGAATTTTCATGTGTAAAGTTTCTATATACATTACCATTCTCTTTCCTTATTAACTTACTGTTTGCTTTGGAGTATATTTGTGTTTCTATCCAAGTTATGATTTGATTTAGCAACCTGTCGAGTGATGTATCCAAGAATACTAGGCTGAAGAAGACGTAATGCTCTTAGTTAATTTTTGTACAATGGAAGTTCCAACACAATAAATTACATTAAATGAATTGACAATGTAGAAAAATATCTGATATAATAATGGCCCCATTAATCATGAGAACTTTATCCAGGAAGTCTGCATTGACTTATATGAGTCAGGCCAACAACCAATGAAATAATGGGATAGTGTCATTTCTTGACCTGGTCACTGCTCCTTCTTCCTTACCCAGAGTCAGTATCACATCTCACGTCTCAACATATGTTTACCTCCAACCAGCATTCTCCAACCCACTCTGTTCTGGGCCTTTCTTTCTAGTTCTATCCAATTGTTGTTCATTCTTCTCATGTCTGTCGCCATTTCTCGGCGTAATGTGTTCTTTGGTCTTCCTTTCCTCCTTTGGCCCTGAGGATTTCAAGTGGGGGCTTGCCTTGTGATGCAATTGGGTGCTTTCCTCAATGTGTGTCCTTCCATTTCCAGCGCTTCTTCCTGCTTTCTTCCTCCACTGGGATCTGGTTTGTTCACTCCTACAGTAGGTTGTTGCTGAAAATGAGTATATATATAGATAGATAGATATAAGTATTACATTTACAGTACTATAAACTATAGAATAAAATACAGATTTATCAAATAAACATAATTATTGAAGTACCACTGCATAACTAGAAATATCCTCCACACAAACAACCGTAGATCACATGTACAAAGATGTACAGAGGGAACCGTTGTTCAGTACATTCATCCCTTGGTAGAGGACAAAATGTCACGTCAGCGTTACATTTAATGTTAGTTTACGATCAACTGAATAATCCCTGCATCACTTCAGTAATAATGTCAGAAACCAACTCAGCAGGATTGATGCAGTTTTTTAAATAAATAAAATGATGTATGAACGTAAACATTCCTCGGTTTATCTTGAAACTAGGTTATGGGGGGAGGTGATGACTGCGCCTTCCTAATTATACTGGCTTAAGAACACTATTCGTAGTTAGAATGCAATAAATTTTCATACACTCTAAACCCCAACTTCCGACTCAATTTTATAAACCAAGTTTGTAACGTAACAGTCACTGCATAGTGTAGGTATCCTGTTTCAATGTCTACAACATTAATTTATTCTATGTTGTTAAGATACTATGACGTAATAAACAATCACTTGTCTGTCTTTTATTCGTAATCCAATTAGCTTATCTAAATTTTTACCGATTCTGATTTATTTTATAGTAGATATACAAAAAATAATTTAATATCACCTCTTAGTTATCATGTTTTAAGATATTTACATAAGCTAATGATAAAACTCCTATATAAAATTTATGTTTTCTTATTTCTTCCAAATGAAAATCCAAGAGTTTAAAATCTGTAGATCGGTACCTACTTCATGAAAGATAAATGGTCGTCAACTATCATTTACATATGATGATAAAAGTATTATTTCTTGTTTATATTGGATTTATTTAACTAAAACATTTATGACTAAATGGAAATATTGAGGCAATCTGCACAGGGTGTATATATGCTCAAAGAGATTGATCAACTACAGTCCATAACATTATACAACTGATAGGCACAAACACTTATAAATTAAATTCATACTCATTTTACAAGCTATTGTTTTTATCTAGACTTAGTAATTCAAGGATTAATCGACTTCGATTTGATACATATATTACATTAGGTTTACAATATGCTGTTGAACACGAAAAAACAATAACTTTCTATCATATTTACTTAAAATTTAATCATCAAAATTTACTAAGGAATTAGGGAGACAATCAACTTTTGTAATGATTCTTATAATATTTATTTATTTGTTTAAAAAAATATTGATTAGAAAATACATCAACCACTTGGTAAACCTGATGTTCAATTCAACATTAGAGAGGTAAAGGTTAGCGAAGCAAACGGTGAACAAACATCAAGAAAGAATGTGCTCAAAGTTAGTAAAAATTACAATGATATAATTTTGTTTTTATACTTTGGTTTCGTTGATCATGAAACAATTATATATATATATATATATATATATATTCAGTGACTGATTGATTCTTCGTAACATTCTATTTCAATAAAAAACTGATTTGATATAGTATGCGGTTACTTAAGGGATGTAACTTGCAAGGATTATTCTATTTGAAAATGTGAAAAACTATGAAAGAATAAGATAGGATGCATTCACTTTAATTTTTTTCTAAAGTAAAATGTATGCCTTTCTCAAACAATTAAAAGATTTTATCGAAATGACTTGGTTGTTAAAGTGAATGGGGTTTAGACAGATCTGCTGTATGACATGAGAATCAGATCATAATTATTGATTTGTTTATCTCTGTTTTATGTTTTCCACATACTTCTCAATCGAATGTAGAAGGTTAATCTCTGACTCTCTTCAGACCATAAGTATTTTTTTAAAAATCAACTAGATTGTGATTGCGAAACAGACAAATGACATCTTAACGTATTCTTTTTTATTCTCTTCTATTCTCTCTAACTTACCTCTTATACTACATTGTAATGACTGTCAGGATAATTCTCTTTATCTGGAGCCATGATTGAATAGTTTTTAAGAATTTAACTTTTAGTCATTAGCTCCCAAGTTTAACAAACACTATTTAATTCAGTTTACCACGTGGTGCCAAAAGTGCTCAAGTAACAAATGTTTCTAGGAGTCAGTTGCGAATATTTTTGTTTTACTACTCACCTATATTAACCTTTTACTGTCCTTAATATCCACTGAATCAGTTTGAATATCATCTCTTGTTCGTCACCTTCCTTGAAGTATACTGAAGTAACTCTCAGGTTATCATTTAGTTTTGAATAAGCATTTTAAAATTATTTACATTGGTAGTTTGTGTAGATTCGTACAATTTTTTCAACAGTAATGAAAATCAGTTTGGTATTTGCTCGTTACTTATCAGGAGTGATCGAAAACTATTTTTATGCAAAATGTAACTTTTTACATTTGGGTATGGTGTTTGCACTTATTTTGACAGACATAAGTAGTATGTGACACCAATCGGAAGTTGAATGCCTTTCAAAAGAAGGTTGAGGAGATTGAACTGAAGAAAACTGAAAGGAAAACATGAAGGGATTGAGAAATAGAAGAATCATGAAGGATGTAAAGGACTATTAATGGAAGATTTGAGATGTTTAATGTATGGTTTAAACATTTTATGAAAGAGCTCTGTAATTTTGCATTAAACAATAAATTAGTTGTCCCCAACCGAGTGCTCGTTCATTATACGAGTACGACGTCATTCGGTCATTAGGTCAAAATTTATTGGTCACTATATTCAATCTAATTGATTATTCGAACTTTCTTTGTAGTCTACTGACTGATTTTGTTCACATAAACGCTACTTATGTTAACAACTCGTATCAATCGGACTACTGGTAAAAGGAATAAAATCTTTTAATTGTGTAGATCTCTTGTATTTACTTAAACTAACCCATACGTTGATCTCAATCAGAACTTGAGCAAAGATTATGTTGCGAAACAATAACTTTGTACTGATCTTTTTGAATAGTAGATAGTTTTGATAAGATTTGCCCGTGTCCACTGACAAATCCATGTTAATATTCACTAATTGAAGACAAACAATGAGGCAGATTTTATCTAGAGATAGTTTATTTTTATTTGTACATTTATTTAAATAAGAATAAATATTCACTCATTAGCAGAACACGATCTGATTGGCTTAATAAACATGGATCTACCATCCTGTCACTTAATTACATAAACTCGTGTAATCGTTTACTTATTCTGACATGACTCAGAAAGAGATGGACACATTATACATTGCCAGTCCAGGAGATTGGATCGATGGGCAGAACACTTTAGGGATCAATTCAACTGGCCTTCAGCCACACTTCGGTTTCCCACGATCTACAGTCAACCTGAACGGCAAGTTAATGTAAGTCCTCCGACTCTTTACGAAGTTGAAAAAGCTATCGGACATATGAAGCGAGGGAGAGCAGTAGGCCCTGACAGGTTTACCCCTGAGATTTTTAAGGATGGCGGCCCAGTATTAGCAGTAAGATTAACTGAGGTCTTAGGTAGAATCTGGGAATTGGACGTAATCCCATCTGACTGGTTTCAATCACTGGTTGTGCCAGTCTATAAGAAAGGAAAAAGGTCCTCTTGTAACAATCACAGAGGAATCAGTTTGACTGATAGTGTCTAAAATATTGGCTACAATAATATTTCGACGCCTAACTAAGGCTCATGAAAAACAGACTAGAGAAAACCAGGCTAGTTTCCGACCTGGATGTGGCTGTATAGACCAGATATTCACACTACGTCAGGTTCTAGAACACAGACACACATCCAGACACCCCACAATAGTTGTATTTCTCAACCTTAAGGCGGCATTTGACTCTGTTGATCGTAAGGTTCAATGGCAGTGTTTGTCACTGAAAGGAGTACCAAAGAAGTTTATTAACTTTATAAAGGCTCTCTACTCGAATACAACTGGTCGAGTGAGAGCTTAAGGCGAACTGTCATCAGAATTGATTACCTCAAGTGGTGTCCGTCAGGGCTGCCCACTCTCTCCATTCTTGTTTAACTTTGTCGTCAACGTACTTTTAGAGATAACACTTTCCTCGTCTAGATTTCCAGAGGTTGAACTTCTACCGGGAGGTTCACTTGTTGACTTGGAATATGCTGATGACATAGTTTTATTTGGTGAAGACGCTGACGAAATGCAGAGTCTTCTGACCACTCTAAGCAATAATGCAAGCATGTTCGGGATGTGATTCTTCCCTGGAAATGCAAAATGTTGCTTCAGGATTGGGTTGCATGGACACCCAAAATAATGATAGGGAGTGAAGTAGTTGAGCGTGTTGACCGCTTCACTTATCTTGGAAGTCTCATCAGCCCTTGTGGTCTGGTGTGTGTTAAAATCTCAGCACGGATACAGAAGGCTCGACTAGCTTTTGCCAACTTGAGTCATTTATGGCGTAGGCGAGATATCCGTCTATCAACCAAAGGACGAGTTTACTGCGCAGCAGTTCGTTCCGTCCTACTTTATGGCAGTGAAACATGGCCGGTAAGAGTAGAGGATATTCGTAGGTTACTAGTATTCGATCATAGGTGTCTTCGAAACATTGCTCGTATATCATGGGACCATCGAGTAAGTAACACAGTTGTTAGGAAACGGGTACTAGGTAAGGATGGCAAATCGATTGATGACGTAGTGAAACTTCATCAGTTGAGATGGCTGGGACACGTGTTACATATGCCCAACGACCGACTGCCTCGACGTGCGATGTTCAGTGGTATAGGAGTAGGTTGGAAGAAAGCTAGGGGCGGCCAGACAAAAACATGGCACAAGTCCATGAAGTCACTGACAAGTGGACTGAGCCATGTTGGTAGGTGTAGACTACCTGGTTGGGATTTGCAAGACGATAGAAACCGATGGTTAGAGACCTTGAATGACATGGCTCAAAATCGTTTGCAATGACGCAGGTACATCCACTCTTTGTGTTTTCCCAAATTCTAACCTTCTGAATTATTCATGTCCCTTGTTTTTTCTCAAATTTATTTCACTGAATTATACTCCTTGAATAGCATCTTCAAACCCTAATGTTTCTGATTACTGCTTATACTCTTTCTACCTCTACCACTACGGGATTTGAATCGATAACTGCATCACTGTGCTAATGTGGTATGGCAACTCGAAGTGATGTACGTAAGTACGAAGTTCCACGTTGTTACTGACTGACTGGCATTATTTAGACTTATGTTAAATGTGAATTAATACTCATCTTTACTGAGTTTAATTTAGTTTCCATTCCTACTTTTTGATAACCTCAGATTGAATGTGAAACTGCTGGAAAGTTGAATGTTCATTTAGTACAAATCCCAGCCATCGATTATGAATCGTGGAAAGCTGCAATACGATATGCGAAGGATCTTTTGGTAGGATGACTTTTTTATGTAACACTGTCATGTTGATTTATCTATATTTTAATGAAAATAATTAAATTTACTGACATTTAAAGTTTTAGAATGTTAAACAGAGGTTTAGTCTCCGTCATTAGTAATAAGGCTTTGAATCACCCAGTTGTTGATATCCTTCACTGAGTTTTTATCAGGGTGAACATTTTTCAAGAAGGATTGATCAAAATTGAGCTAAGAATGTTAATAGGGTGAAGATGAAAAAGCTGATGAATTAAATTAATTCTCGTTAAACAAGGTAGCGGCTACCTGAACTCAGTCGGTCAGTAGATAACCTGTTACGCCTTTTGAGACCAAAAGTACTGGATTCGAATCCAGTGTAACCATCAATACCTAGATGCAAGTACATTCAGCTGGCCAGTACAAAACAAGCGTCCTAGGTTTCACTGCTAGTTACAATCCATCTGTTCTTAAAAGAACAAAGTGGTTTCATTGTTTTCCCACCCAATTCATATCGTTTTCGCTTAACTTTCATTAGGCTATACAACTTTGGTTGATAATTAAGAAGCACTATTGTATTCTTAGTGATGTTTTTCAACATATTTTCAATGGGCCTTTTTATCATTTAACTTCTGCCTAACATACTGATAATCATATTATGATGTCTCCTATTGTTCTGCAATAATTTTCGATGATTTGGATAATTGAATTCACAGCATCGTTTGATGCTTATTTTAAATAATTTGTCATTTTTATGTGGACCTTGTACAAATAGATTGATGTGAGATGGAAATAAACTGAATGTTTTAGCAGGATCAAATCCTAACAATTTTATGCTTCATGATTATCCTGATTGGTCTCTTTTTTAACCAATCAATACTGATATAGCAATGTAGAATACCCTAGACGTCCTAATATTTCTAATAATTCTGTATAAACTAAAGTGTTTTTAGTATTATATCCTTATTGTTTCGACTTATTGGAACTTACTCCGTTTCCACTTATTGGTATTCTGATTCGCATCGGGTCTAGGGAAGTGAAGTGGTCAAACGATATTCAACGAAGAGAAACTTAGTAAAATATCCTTAAAAATTATTTACACTTTGCACAAAGTTCGTTTTTGTTGCATTTATTTTTGCTTTATATTCAGGACCGAGTCTTAATCAGTTTTCTTTGGTAAATGTGGGTCGTGTGTCACTTCCTTCAATTTAACCATTTTATCATTTATTCTATGTATTGATCTGTTGATCAGAGCTTTGTTCAATGTTTTAATGTTATTTTTAAATCTGTTTTGGCATGTCGTAATGCTACAATCATTACTCTTACCGTTGAATAAATTTTGGAATCAAGCATTTAATGTTGGTCGGAGTATTTTTCCTGTGAACATTTACTTAATGTTTGTTGTTGGTAAACATTAGAAACAATAAATTAGTTTATGTTCACACTTTCCATTGTTTCATATCAGTGATGTTGTGCTATATATATATATATATATATATATATATATATATATATATATATATATATATATATATATATATATATATATATATATAGTGTCATTTTTTATCTCGTTCGTTAATGTACTTACTTACGCATGTTACTCCTCGTGAAGGAGCATAGGCCGCTCACTAGCATTATCCATCCAACCCTGTCTTAGGCAATCCTTTCCAGCTCCTTCCAGTTGTTATTCATCCTTTTCATATCTGCTTCTATTTCCCGACGTAATGTGTTCTTTGACCTTCCTCTTTTCCGCTTCCCTTCATGATTCCAAGTTAAGGCTTGCCTCGTGATGCAGTTCGACGATTTGCGTAATGTATGTCCTATCCATTTACATCGTCTTTTCCTAATTTCTTCAGCTGGAAGTTGGTTTGTTCTCTCCCACAGAAGGCTATTGCTGATGGTATCCGGCCAATGGATGTTGAGTATCTTGTGTAGACAGTTATTTATAAATAGTTATACCTTCTTGATGATGGTTGTTGTAGTTCTCCAAGTTTCAGCTCCATACAGTAGAACTGCCTTGACGTTCGTATTGAAGATTGTGACTTTGATATTGGCTTGTAGGCAGTTGTTTTAAGTTCTATATGTTCTTCAATTGTAGGAATGCGGCCATTGCTTTGCCAATCCTCGTCTTTACGTCTGCATCTGAACCTCCTTGTTCATCGACGATGCTTGCCAAGTGTGTGAAGGATTCTACATCTTCCAGAGTTTCGCCATCAAGAGTGATTGGATTGCTGTTTTCCGCTTTGAATTTGAGGACCTTGGTTTTCCCCTTGTGTGTGTTGAGGCCTACTGATGTAGAGACTGCTGCTACACTGTCTGTCTTTATCTGCATTTGTTCATGTGCATGCTATAGGAGAGCTAGGTCATCTGTGAAGTCCAAATCGTGTGATTGGTTCTGAGCTGTCCATTGTATGCCGTGTTTTCCCTCCGATGTTGAGATCTTCATAATCCGGTCGACCACCAGAAAGAGAAAGGGAGAGAGTAGACAGTCTTGTCTGACTTCCGGTCCTTACTTGGAATGCGTCTGTCAGCTGTCCTCCATGCACGGCTTTGCACTGTAGTCCGTCGTATGAGTTCCGGATAATGTTGAAAATCTTCTCATGAACTCCGTAGTGTCGAAGAAGTTTCCATAACGTCCTCCTATCTACACTGTCAAATGCCTTTTCATAATCGATGAAGTTGATGTACAGAGACGAGTTCCACTCAACTGATTGTTCGACGATGATTTGGTCTGATCACGATTGGTCCTTACAGAATTCAGCCTGTTGATCTCGAAGTTGGACATCTACCGCATCTTTCATCCGGTTCAGCAACACTCTGTTAAAGACTTTCCCTGGTACTGACAGTAGTGTAATGCCTCTGTAGTTTTCACATTTGCTCAGGTCTCCTTTCTTTGGAATCTTGATGAGGTGTCCTTCTTTCCAGTCCATCGGTACTTGTTCCTCCTCACAAACCTTCGTGAATAGGAGGTAAAGCATGTCTGTAGTTACTTCGATGTCTGACTTCAGTGCTTCAGTTGGTATGTTGTCGGGTCCAGCTGCTTTTCCGCTCTTGATTTGTCTGATGACCATTCTGATTTCTTCCGTCGTTGGTGGATTGACATCTATAGGAAGATCTGTGTGTGCCGCTTCGATGTCTGGTGGATTCATTAGAGCCGGCCTATTCATGGGTTCCTCGAATTACTCTACCCATCTGTTCCGCTGTTGTTGAATTTCGGTGATTGGCTTGCCTTCTTTATCTTTGACCGGCCTCTCTGGTTTACTGTATTTCCCTGCTAGTTTCTTCGTCGTATCGTAAAGCTGTTTCATATTTCCTTCCCTTGCAGCTTTTTTCGCTGTCATTGCTAGTTCTTCCACGTATTTCTTCCTGTCGGCTCTAATGCTCTTCTTCACTTGCTAGTTTGCTTCTATGTATTCAGCTTGTGCTTGAACTTTGTCTGCTCGTGTTCGGCTGTTGTTAATTGCTGTCTTCTTGTTCTTCCTTTCTTTGATCTTGTCCAGAGTTCCTATAGAGATCCACTCCTTATGGTGGTGTTTCTTTAGGCCAAGAACCTCTTGACACGTTGAAGTTAATGCTTCTTTGATACCTTCCCAGTTGTCCTCCACACTACTTTCTCCTTCTTTCAGTAGATCCTGTAAGGCTTGGAACCTGTTGTTGAGAGCTATCTTGAATTCATTGAGTTTGTCAGTATCTCGAAGGAAGGCTGTATTGAACCTTTGTATTGCTGTCTGTCCAGTTGTCCAGTTCTTTTTTAGCTTCAGTTTTAAATTGGCCACAACTTGGTGGTGATCTGAAGCTACGTCAGCACCTCTCCTGGTTCTCACATCTTCCATTGTCCTTCGGAATTTTTTTGATGCAAGTATGATCTATCTGGTGCTCTGTGGTGTGGTTTAGTGAGATCAATATAGGTTTGTGTATACGTTTGTGTGGAAATATTGTGCTTCCTATGATCAATTTTTTGAATTCAAACAGATTTGCAAATCTTTCCCCATTTTCGTTTCTCTCTCCCAGTCCATGTCGTCACATGATGTCTTCATATCTGGTGTTGTCTATTCCAACTTTGGCGTTTTGATCTCCCATCAGAATGGTGAGATCCTTTCTTGGGTGTTTCGCTGTGTTTGGTTGCAATTGATCTTTAATGTCGTTGTTATTATCATTGGTGGGTACATAACATTGGATAATATTCATTGTGATCCCTTCCTTCTTTGTTCTGAATGATGCTTTGATGATTCTGGATCCGTGAGATTTCTATCCTACAAGTGCATTTCGTGCTACTTTGGACAGCATTAGAGCAACTCCCTGAGTGTGTGGAGCATTTTCCTATTTGTGGCCGGAGTATAGTAGCATCTCTCTCGTATTCAGCCTTTGTTGTCCAATTTGGGTCCAATGGGTTTCGCTGATTCCCAGTACTGCCAAGCTGTATCTCCTCATTTCCGTTGCTATTTGACTAGTCTTCCCGGTCTCCTACATTGTCCGTACGTTCCATGTATCTATAGAAATTTTTACTCTGGTTGTTAGAAGGGGCATCGGCCTCGTGGCTTCCGAAGGAACTCGGCTTTCACCATGAAGCGTCATAATCCTTCTAAATGAAGACCTTCTAACTCCCAGGACAGAGTTGAAATGGTTTGAATTATTTTTACTGGTTAGCGTTTTTTAGCGAGTTAGTTTTCTACGGGATGGTTTCGCTAGCCCCATGCCCAACCCTCCTCCTTTACCCGGGCTTGGGACCGACAGTAACTCTAGAAGAGTTATAGGCGGAGTTAATCGTTAATGTGCTTATTTTAAACTGAACGTTTTGAGTTGTTGAAGCTAAAATTATGTCTTTGTAGAAAAAAATCTATAATACTGAACTATCTTACTGCGTTGTAACCAGATAATCATACACACTCACTACTTCAATGTTAATCAACTACCCTTTGTGTTTTTGTAATAATTGAAACATACTAAAACCACCTTTGAAATGTATTTTATGTAAAGGCCATTATTTGTTTAAAATCCATCGAAAAAAACACGTCACTTATGTATTCAAGCATTTAGAAGTACATCTTAATTATCAGGTATTAGATTAAATAAAGAAAAATACTTGTATATATGAATATACCTTTATAAGTTTCTATTTCACGTAAAACATATAACTAAAAAATATGTAATTAGTTATTTAGTGAGAATTGATTTACTTGCCATAAACTAAATAACAGGAAATAAAACTTTTGTGATATTATTTTTTCTGAATTAGTATAATATACATATTTACAATTATTCCCAGAAATTCTAAGCAACTGAAAAAAACACCCCATATTACTCTTGTCTAATCCTTGTCTTCTTGAAAGAAAAAAATATATACAAAAGTCGATTCACTTATATGTTTCAATAGTCTAATTGGTCATTTATCTAAATTAATACTTTTATTATTAGTATACCTTTCATAAGGTTGTAGAACTTGGAAATAACTGGCAAACAAATAAAATTACTCTTTGATTTCTATAGTAACAAAAATCTGGGATTTTAAGTTTCATCATTTAATTTTGTTCAATTTTTTTTAGTATCCCATAGATTACAAGAATTTCGAAATTGATTAATAAGTCAACTTTCCAAAAGGGATTGATTTTAATAGAAGTAAAATGAAAGCTTGTAAAATATTTTATCTATGATAAAATGAACAGAATGACCATCTTTAAAAAAATACAGCAATGAATATAAAGAAGTAAACTAGAAAAATGTTTTATTATCTTTTTAAGTAAGAATAAAATTAATTTATAAAACTAACTACTAACTGTCTCTTTTATCATTTATGCTACATTAATTAGAATGAAGATCATGGAGTCACGTTAGGACGTTCATTAACCAGATGTAAGTGATACGCGTGTATAAATTACTTCTTTTGCTTATTGATTTCTTCATTTTGTTTTTCAGAAATCCCCTATGAATCCATGCTTACGTTTAACCGAATATCTATCTAATAAAAAGCTTAAATGGATAAGCACTGTGATGTGTGGTGTCAGAGACCCACTGACAGATTGTAGTCTTTAAAAGTGCTTTGGATATATCTTTTCCTCTTTTTAATTCAAACTGCTGCTTCGGAATTTATATAACTTAATACTTGGTGTTATCAATAATAATAAGTGAAGTAGTTAGCTCTGTCTACCGCTTAAGTTATCTTGGAAGTCTAATTAGCCTTTTTTTCACCTGTGAATGGTGATATCTTGACATGAACACATAAAACCTTTCATCTCTGATAAACTATACCATTTTTGTTTTAAGTGAAGTTTTCATCTACCAAGCAAAAGGCGATCATATCATTCAGGAATCAGTTTTATATTAGTTTATGAGTGCAACATATGACCACACGAAGTAAAAACAGATTTGAATCGTAAGTATTTTGTGATTAGCATCTTGAAAGCATTAATTTAATATAGCATAACAACTTCTTAGCTTATAGTATTGTTAGCTGTCAAAATATGAGGGATGATAACTAATTATACACCTTCAGACTCATGCAGTTAAAAATGTATTACATATACCTAATCACTGTCCTTAAATGTTATAGTGTGATTTGGACATTAAATAGTGGGATGACCAGGACAAGAAATGTTACTAATCCGTGATGCCAATGGGTAGAAACTAGGCGATATATTATATAAAAATCCACGATATCATAGAGGCATTTATATAATCTCTTCCCCTAAATACCCAGTTTTGTACCATCTCTATTTCTTATCTTTTTTTTAACAATTCTGTGTTTCACGTTTTATATATCTTCTACATTCGTATCATTATTTTTACTTCTTTATTGGACGTCTAGTTGATTCCTTCAAGTTTCCCTTTTTGTTATAAAACATAAAATTGGACTAATACTCGTTTATTCCAAGTTTACATGTTGTTCACATTTGCTCGATGAGAAATGTTCAAGTGTTTGGTTTCGTCAGTCTATTTTTGACAGTAATTTTATAGTTACTTAGTTACCTAGAGGAAAAATTATGTTTAGGAATTAAATGATGTCGTTATCCAACAGTTTTCACTTATCCTTATTCTTGCTCAACTCTGTTACAAATATAGTTTCATTTATATCTTAAATCTCACCGGATAACTTAGACTATCCAAATTATATTATCATTTATGAAGAAGCCAGTTGGTAAAATAATCTTTTTTAATCAAAAACCTAATTATCTCCTTATTGAAATTTTCACAAGAATTTTAAATTATTCTTAGTATAAATTATTTAATAGTAGTCAGATTATACTAAGTGAATGCTTCTATCTTATGAATCACGCATCCATGGATATGTTTTTTTCACAGCCTCTCTTTGTATAATGGTACTAATATTGACATAGTAAATGCACAAATATTTTAAGAATATATCAAATGACTTACTAATAGGTATATATATATATATATATATATATATATATATATATATATATCATACTAACTTATTGGCTGGATACACATGATATACTGTACTTTAAGTGCATATGCTATTTTCAGTACTCTCATCCACTTGGAATACACTTCTCTTGATATATGTTATTGAGTAATACTTAAATTATAAGCCTCTAATGGATAGACTTAAAGCAAACACTAAAGGATTTTTATATCATCTTGCAAAATTAAGTAGGTTGATTTTGATTTATTATTATTTTTACACATCAATAAAATATGTAGTTCTGTTCATTTTTAGCGCTATTTACTGCTTCCAAGTAATTTCCATTACTAACTAATATTAGCTAAAATAAGTATTGAAAATTACAAAACAGTGGATACAGATTTGATTCAGCTTTGGACATCTTATCAATAAGTATCGACGAAGCTAATTTATGTATCTGCATTCTAATATGTATTTATCTATAGGAATTTAGGAGATTACTGCAATACAAATAATCGAATTACGCTAAATTCATCTAAAGCGATAATTTAATCTTGCAGATTATAAAACACTAATACAAATCCAATTAGCCAGTGAATTTACGTTATTCTACTGAATACTTTATTCCTATTCTCTAACTTGAAAGAGTTATCTACCAAAACGCTTCACAAAAATAGTCGTAACTGCAGCCTAATCTAACCATAAATTTGATAATTTTGTGAGTTCTTATAAACTGCTGTAGCTAGGTCATTATTTGTCTACGTTTAACCACCACCTATATGCATGAGCTATAGTGACTTGCAAATGTCGTTTGGAAAAGAGTAAGGCATCAGTCTGCGGGTTAATTGACCTATAAGTTTATGTTGTATCGAATTGTCCAAAATTCCTAGTCAGGATCTAACGAGATAATTTCTAGAATTTTCAGCGACATAGTTTATTCATTTTATAAATTCTGAGTGTAATTTTATTCTACACTCTATATTGTCTGATTTTATCGGTTTATTTTGATATATTTTTTATTTATCCATCAATGCTATTATTTTCATTGCTTTTCCTTTCTGCTTACCATACTATAATATTAAGTGTAGCAACTATACAGGTACATACTTGTGCAAGAACTTACTCTATTTATTTGTTTATCGACCTTCAGTTTTACTTTATTGAATTTATCAATTGATTAAATGATGAAATTCATAGATTTATAATAAGTGACTCAACTCATCTGTTCACCATGAGTTGTGAATAATAAATTGAACAGTTTCCTAGTATGTTATTATGTGACTTACTGAAAATCAATCAGTTAGCATTCAATGAATAAACAAGAAATATAAGTTCTGGAACTAATAAGAACTTAATCAAGTCTTGCTGAAACTACCTAATTATTACAATTATTTAACCTGGTGTCTCTCATGTTATGTTTCGTGATGCTTTTTCAGAATCACTAAACTTATTCTTATTCAAAAAAAAAGTTATTTAACATTTTAATCAATCACCAAGACCGGTGTATCTGCACGAGAAATAAATAAATGCGCTAAAAACTTACTCTAAAATTCAAGGTGACCATTATGATTTATTTTTATGTGAAGGTTGTCATTACTTCCAGGCTGAAGAAAAAAAAAACTTAACAATCACCAATCACATTGTGATTGAAACAAATAATGTTAATGTTTAAAAGTGTTATGGATCAATTTTGGAAAGTACTTGGTAAACTACCATATATTTAAATCTTATATACGAGTTTATAAACTACCAATAAATTAAGACAACTAAACTGTGTAAGACAATGTATTGTGATTATTTTCTTTTAAAGTTTTTTTTTTACAACCTTATTGTTTTTATCGTGTGTGCTTGTCAAATTGTTAATGATTAATGAAGCCTATCTTTGTAACTCTTAACTCGTTTTGTTTTCATATGCTAGAGTTTAGATGGTGAAGAATCGATCAATTGTAGTAGTAATAAGAGCAACACACAGAAGCTGTGAATGTGACCTATATAGTGATTATGTTGTCCAGTAACAAGGACACTTTTCATCAATATGTTTACCCCTGCTTCTATTATACTATGTCAAAAAATTTAAATAATCATTTTCTGAAGTGCTTTTCTTCGTTCACTTTTTATGCTCTAAAATAACCGTTTGCTAGCATCATAATTTAACCGTCCTATTCGATTAAAGTTTTAACAATGGTCGATTTCTATGTAAAACAGATGAACTGTAGTTAGCAGTGGGATCTAGGATATGTCCCATTTAAGACTTAATTCCTCTGTTTTCGATTCCGTCTTTAACCTGTATTGGTTATTTAGAGACTTTGCGACAGAAATAACATTTAATAAATACCTGCTTGTTTTTTTTCGGTGGTCGTCTACTACCAAAAAATCTAGTGTATTGGCATTAAGTTTTTTGATGAGAAGAGGGTTCTTTGACACTTATACGTTTCTCTTAATAAGTGAGTTAACTGGTATGTTTACCGAATTCACCATCATGAACTGGGTCGATTCTGAAACCTTATCAGGATTTCTCCAGTTCAAAAGTAATAGAGTTCGAAATATTATATATTCCATGATTGTATCTCTTTAAAAAATAACTTTAACTGAACATATCTTATTGAATAAGGGATTTCTAAATAGTATATCGATTCTTAAGAAGTGGAAATCTGCAGCTGACTTAGAGTCACAAAATGGTCAAACGCAAGTTAATCAATGCATTAGAAAGATAACATACTAGAATATTACCAGATGACCATGGGGAATGCACGAATTTGGAAGCTTACATAATCGTCCAATCATAATTTACTAACATAGAATGAAATACTGTTCAGAAAGGTGTCATAGAAAAAAATCTTAGTTCATGCATTAAACTAGTGGTTGCAGGCAGTGATAGCATGTAGTTTATGAAGAGTCTTCAAGTTCAAGTTCAATGATATCAGTATGGTCAGAGTTTTTTGAAAAATTTTCAACTTTAAGTTCGGAACCTCCTTTTTTAGTTTCACAAAATTTGACTACAGTATATAACTCCTCATATCATTATAAGTTATTTCATGGAACAAATATTCATTCTGATGAGAAAAGAATAAATAACATTAAGAATTTATTCTTTGATTACCAATCAGACGATAACAAAACAGAATTTCAAACATAATATCACCAATGAAGCTGAAGTCTAACAACTGAAACACCCAATCATTTTCTCTTTACTAATTCTCGTTGTTTTAACCTTTCTTTCCTTTTGTACTTAAGTATTCACTATTGCATTGTATGTATAACTAAAAATTGAATGGTTGGACTATCAGGTGTGCATCTCATTGTCAAATTCGTTATATTTTCTGCTTAACTGTATTTTGTTTTTATTATTATTATTTACTTCAGATGATTCTGGACAACCTTCTGTGCTCGATAAAAAATTGTTGGTTAAATTGCGTGATTTTTTTAGAACAAGACCAACTGCTGCATCCCTACGATCTCGCGGTATTTTAAAGAGTAAGTTATTTGTATTCATAATTTGTACATTTTGTATATCCGTACATGAATTCATTATAAAATTGTAGATTTACTTAAGTACGTTTGCACAATTGTTTTACTTTATCAGTGAGATTCGAGAAATTATGTGTATTTAATCCGTACTGTATCGTAGAATTTAAGCCTCGATGGTTGAATCATGGATTCGGACTGTTGAGGAGTTCCACGTTAGAACTAAGTAGCTGTTGGGTACTTCCACATTTTATGTAATTGTCTAACTTAAATCAGTTCTTGATCTCACATAACATCCAACCATCTCCACAAAACTCCTACATTAATATTAGAACATACACAAATTTTTTGTAATTGTATCTAACAAATTATTTACCTTGCAATTATCAGGTGGCCAAATCAATAAACGTTTATTACGTACTTGTATATTCATGTTTGCAACCATGACTACTAACCCTGCTTTGTTTTTTGTGGATAGATATCATTTTTTGTTAAGTGTTTATCTTTTAATTGGTTTATATTTAACAACCTACTTGAAATTGGCAGTTCTGAAAAATTACTTAGACAGTTTATAGTTATATTTTGTTAGTGCTGCATAATCTATGTTATTCAAGGTTACATGTAAACACACCACACCGAGTACATCATATCTTGGAACAATAAATAGTGCTTTTAGGAAAATAAAGTGAGTTCGTAGACTAGAAAAAGCAAAGAAAGACAATGACAATATGATTTTTGTTAAAAATAGCTTACATTTATCAAGTTGAGCTTGTTTATTATTTCACAGTAAATTAAGTTAAATTAATTAGGAATTTTGACAGTTGAATTCATGAATCAGTCTAAGCTAGACCAACATTGAAAATCTGAAAGCACTGAGCGGGCGTTTCGTTCCCGCATGGGATTCCTAAGCAGCGCACACCCACGATCCTGCACATGGGACTCGAACCCAAAACCTTCGGTTCCGCGCGCAATCGATTAACCTTTAGACCACTGGGCCGATACCCAACGGTGGTCTAACTTCACTCGATCCATGATCTTTTGCAACCATTCATCCGTTGTCTTATGTAGATAACTGTCTCCATCTGACACAGATTAAACTCCACTAGAACTGCAGGAAATCTATCGTGAAGCTAGCCACTAGTAAGCACATGATTTATTATCAAAGTGGGAATTTCTGGAGATTATAGTAGTTTTGGTAGTTGAATTCACTAGTCAATCTAAGCTATAACACCATCCAGGTTTTCAATGGTGGTCTAGCTTAGATTGACTCGTGAATTCAACTATTAAAGTACTACAATCTCCTTAAATCCTCATACTGATAATTAGGGAATTTAAGGTAGTCGAAAGAAATCTTACGTAATATTTTTTTCAAATTTGTAAAATCATATCAATCGTTAATTATTGATGAATCAATCAGAAAGATATTACTGTGTACCTACCGACTAATATACATGCCTGTTTTATTGTCAAACTAAGGTGGGTTGTATGAAAAGTTTCTACAGTGTTTACAATGATTCTTCAATTTATATTACTCTGTAGTGTAAATTATTTCTAAACTGTTTTTCTCTTTAATCAATTTATGATGTTAAAGGTTTATCGAACTCATTACGTTGTGTACATTCGGATAAAATGAGTAGGGATATTTGAAATGAACTATTACTCTTATATTTACTTATCAACCTGTCTCGTCTAACGTTGCCACAAAAAGATTAGCCTCCACTTCTTACTTTAGTGAAAGATCTGAAAGCCACTGTGTTGTACCATCTTTAGGACCCCACCCAGGGAGTCATAATGAACAGACATATGCTAATGTTATACAGCTTCCATGCAACAGCACTATTTCATAAATTGACTGACTCTATACTTATCCCATCCAGCCTTAGTGTCAGCGAATAGCCGACGAAGTGGATGCCGCTGGGACCACATTCGTAACACATTTTCACACCACTTAAGCCGGGGTTTCAAGGTGAAGACATTAACTGGAACACCATCATTGTGCCCAAACGCATATTGTTGAACCTCCTTATTACAAACATGGTATTACCACTGGATGTCAATAATCCATCAGAGGTACAGATAATTGAGCACAGAGGTTTTGTACATCTTCAGCTACGAAAGGACGGGTTTCTCAGGTGTAGACCAAAACTTCTCTTGCCGATGTGTTGTAAACCTGACCTTGGATTGACGGTAGAATTCATCTTTGATTATATTGTAGTGGCTTTGCTTCGTTTAGCAATCACCTTTGTAACCGTTATTATATAAATCCTAAGGTGTTTGAAATCAAAAGGCAATAAGTAGCGGCAACTACATTGTATTAGCGGATAGCACATGTCACAAAGCTATCTGCACATCAAGCGAATCTGAAGCAGAGAGGCGAATATGTATGTGAGCCGATACAGAGGTAAATTTATGGTCAAATCTTGTAAGGGCACAGCAAAGCAGAGCAAAAGCTAATAATAAGATTTGCGTACATATATACGTGGAGAAGAGAATGATTTATCGAGCAACATTTAAGATATTAACATTTTAGCTAGTCTTTCATGTGATCAGGCATAAACGTTTATGTAGATATGATAGTGATCATAATAGTACAAAGAAATGTGCGAATTGCTACTGCTCGAATAACATTATCAGTTAAGTAAGTTAATAAAAGGGCTTTACCGAAATTAACCATATTCAAAATTGGTTGTAGGATAATTGCTATGATATTGTAACTGCAATCTGTCGACTCATTGACGTAGATTACGAGAAAGCATAGTTTCTCATGCTAACGTTTTCTCACTTTAATGGAACATTCTAATTTAACAACATAGAAACGACTGTTAACGCGGATCCAGTTGATTAGTGCCGCTTCTTTGACATAAACTCTAGCAAAACTGGACATTGATACCATAGAGTCCCTATATAGGGGCGTTTGTAAAAAACATTTGTAATGAAATAGTGGACAAGTACTTTGCTCAAGTCTTAAATACTGGTCTCAGATATACGATAAACATCGACTTCAGGCTATCTAACAACAGTTGAACCTATCTGTTGTTCAATCTATGTCACTGTGTGAATGTCAAGAAGATCACTTTGGAAGACAAATACAGCTTCAGGAAAGTTGTATCAAGTGCTGTATCCGGTGGGTGCATCCATAAATCTTCCATTCAGTGACTTGAGACCCTTTAGACTGGATAGAACTCTTATCACAGATGAGGTATTGAATGACCTTAAAAATCTTGGTTGTTTTTTCTTCGAGCTGGATCGTCTAATCCAAATGCTTCTATTGTCTTTCTTAACAAAATCAGCGCACATTTCAATAAGTCTTTATGAAAACTTGAAAAATAAAGGTGTACTCAAAATGGTAATAAAATAAATGGAAAGATGATAAGTTGTAAAAAAAAGATTTGCATGGTACTATCTAATTATAAATATCGCTTTCATGAACAGAGAATTGGAGCGATAACATTTTTTTGAGTAGTAATAATCGTTGTGTAGGGTAAGTGCTGATATATTGTTTGTGCACCCAAACCGGCTTATCTGGTTTTCTTAGGAGGCTAGTGTCCGAGTCTTTCGTCTGGAAGTATAATCCACAATGCAGGGGAGCAGCATCAGGAAATTAAGTTCCATCGCAACCGGCGGTTAAAATAAGTTCATCTGACATTCGTTGCCCCAGTAACCTGGTGCTTATATACACTATTGGTTTATAATCAAGATTTCCAAACTCCCCTTGCTAGATCCTTCGTATTCGCTAACTCCTTTTAAACACTGGCCGTTCAATTTTCGTCTTCCTCACTGACCTACATTAATTGGAGTTAGAATGTGAAATCACTTGTTTACTGAATTTATTGCATTGCTCCATCGAATGATGAATATCATGCAAAATGTAAATTATTTAACAGTGCACTTTTAAAATAATGTGTCATCTTTACGATAAACACTTTGAACATAATATTTACTAAATTTATGATCTTCATCATCATCATCACCAATAATAATAATAATAATAATGATAATAATAATAATAATAATAATAATAATAATAATAAACAGAATAACTTGAATGGAATTTGTACCGGAAAAAAAATAAAGACACTGTGATTGTTGTAAAGATTCCATAAAGCATTGATCATATTTTTTTCAAAGATATATGTTTATTAGTTTGAATTAATGTATATGCGTTTTTTGGTGAACTTTTCATATACGATTGATAGTAAATAGTTCATACTTGCATTTATACCGGAATAAATGTAGATATAATTGATTATTTGATATATACAATCTGTTGTAAGTAAATAAACACACTAACTCATTGTAAATAGAAATAAGTTGGTCATTGTGAAACTTTGAGAAAATAGCTTTTGTCAATGTGAATGTTTGGTAATTTAGTGAATAATTTACAAGTTGTTCACCTGGTTCTTTATTAGAAACAATTTTTCCGTTAATGAACAATTTTATACTTTTTATGCAATTCAAGTCTGACGGACACAAAGTGATTGTTTTCAAGTGTGTGGATTCTTTTTATCATAGAAACTCTATCTTATTCTGCATATCCAATTTCTTAGTCTAACCAATGATGGGTTTTTTGTGAAGCATATATGTATTTTACAGATTATATTGCTAATACAATATATAATTAATCTCATTTTCTCATAAATTCGATGTATTTGATACAACCAAATCCTTTGATAAACTTAAATAAAGCAAGAACAACTAGGTTTGCAAAAACCTATAGACGAAGACAGAAAAGTTTGATTTAAATCTAAACTGGTTGGTATTGCAAATCAGTACTATATTTCCGCAACTGCACATTCAAAACATTCGACGAAGGAACATATACCAGCACTGACGAATTTACAAGTGAATGATAAGATCATTATAGTATGACCAGATAAGTGTCCCTGTGTTGTAATAATTAACCGAAAAAATCATGTGCATAAAATGTTCCAAATTCTCAACGCTAAATCGTGATTCCAAATCGACAAATCTAGAGGAGGTACCATTGCAACAGAGTCAATAAACATCTTTAGGAACTTTTGAAGAAGAAACTCATTGATAATTCAACTTACAACAATCTGATGGCAAAATGATCACGACTGCCTTTAGTATATGGTCTCCTTAAAGTACACAAATCCAACATCCCGTTAAGACCTATAATCTTTATGGTTAACTCATCATATCATAAGTTGGCTCGGTGGTTAGCATAATTATTAGAATCGATTCGTATAAAACTGGCGGCCAATAGTTAAAAAGACGCAATTCAGTTTTCCGAAGAAATAGATCAGTTGAATATATCAGATAAATTCATAGTATCCTCTCACATGTGTTCATTTTTTGTGAGTATACCACCAGCAGTAACTTTTAATATAATTTATGAACAATTTGAATTACTTCCTCTGCCCAAAGATGAGTTGAGAAAATTATTACTATTTTGCACAAAAGGGGTTCGTTTCCAATTCAACAATCAACTATACAAACAAACCGATAGGGTGACCATGGGGCCTATCTTGGCCGATATCTTCTTGACTAGCCTAGAACTAGCGAAACTAAAACACGAAATACAAAATACTACACCAGATTTTTTGACGACAGTATCTGTGATGATATAGACCATGCTTCTCGGTTTCTTAGTTCAACAACTCTCATCCCAACATAACGTTCTCAATGGAATATGAAAGAGATAACCAATTGAATTTTTTAGATCTTAGTGTAAGACAGAAAAGTGATTGAAGTCTTGCAAAAAGTATATATAGGACAGAAACATGGACAGGTGTCTATTCAAAAGACTCTTCAATAGATCTATGATGTTATGCTCAAATGGTTAAATAAATGAGGAATTGGTTATTCAGGAAAAGTATTGTATAAAAAATAGATACCCGAGGGAATTTATTACTAACTTTGGGAATAAATATCTCAAAGATGATAGACAATCAACTGTTAAGAAGAGACTTGTCTTCATCCGCCTTCTGTTCAAGGGAGATAAGATTTCAGGAAGATTCTATCGGAGAGTCAAGGCGGTGCTGAAAAGGTTTCCTGCTGCTCAATTGGTTTCACAACTCAACATCAAGTGTTCTCTGTACCATTCAAATGTAGATCAATACGCTTTCGACATCATATTTAATTGCATTTATGAATCTACATGTACCTGCGGCAGCATTTACGTAGTAAGGACAGAGAGAAGGGACTTTACAACGTTTTCTGAACGCATTCCTAGGAACTTATGTTTGAAAGTGAGTAAAGTCTTTACAAGTGCCAGACATATTTTGGATAGTAAACATGGAGCGAATGTAAGTGATGCATTCAAAATAATCAACAGACACAAACACCGGTCTTACTCCGTTTTGCAGAGGCCATCGCTATCAAACGTTTCCGACCTAACTTATATATATACAGAGCCAAAGTTTGATTAACACTTCCCTGCCATAATGATTGGACATTTGTTTAAAAAAGTTTGTCAATTCTAATTTTTTCCAACCCTGTTCCCAACCTTTTTATTATTTTATTATTCTTTCATCTGATATTCATCTCTTACATAATCTGATTGATGTTCACATATTTGTTCATTTTATCATGTTGAACGACTACCCAATCACTTGTTAGTTTCATTACCCTTACATAACCTCTTAATTATTACTTCCCGCCGTATAAATACACAACATTTTGTATTCTGTTCTCCTCATTATATTGATCTCGGTTACACTTTGAACATTTATCTAAACTTCACAAACTACAATATACTAAAAATTTGTTGATAATTATATTTATATCAGAAGGGTTTTTGTGGAAATTATGGTAATTTCAATGGTTGAAATCATGAGTCAATTGAAGCTAGACCATCACGAAAAACCTCGAAGCACTGGATGGCCGCTTCATCCCATTGTGGGACTCCTCAGCAGCGCGCATCCACGACTCTGGCTCGCGGGATTCGAACCCAGGACCTACCCGTCTCGCGCGTACGCGCTTAACCACTAGACCATAGAGCCGGCATCTGACGGTGTTAATGTATAACTTCAACCAATCCACGACATTTCACGACCACCCTCCATTGTCTTCGATGGGTGACTGCTTTACACCCGACACGGTTTCAAGGGTTTATTATATTAATAAAAATTTATATAAATTACCTAAATTTCTTGGTGATATCTTGTTTAATCACATAAACGATAGTATATAATTATTTGTTTTTTTGTCTCTTAATAAAACATCCATCAACTTACAAACCTGTACAAAATCAAGTACATTAGAAAGATAGAAGAAACGATCAATGAAACGCCTGCCCGTTGATCTACAAAAATAGTCAATAACCTAATCGTATACCCATCTACTGGACACTAAATACAACGTTGATATAATGGGTCTATTTAAAATTACTAATAAATTTGTACGCTACTTTGATTCACTGTTTTCATAACAACTAAGCCAATAAAATATATTAATAGTAAAATTTCATCTGTTTAATGACACAACTGTCGTTGGGTTTTTTCTCTGTGGTTTTATGTACTTTAATCGTTATTTCACAAACTTAGTATAGTGTTTGTTAGGGCTACAATTGTGTATGAAGAATACTTTAAAATGTTTTATATCAAATATATTACGTTGATACTTTTTTGAAAAACAATATTCATACTATCTGGTCGACGATGCACTAAAACAAAAAAAATCATCGTTTAAGTCCGAGAGCATTATTAGTTCCACAATTAACTGGATGTATCATTTTGCACAGATCATTCCTGTTTATTCCACTCTTTTTCTCCTAGTAACAATTTGAATATTATGTAATCAGCTTATCTGTTTATTTGTAACAGTAAATAAGGTATAATATGATAGGTTTATTTGTCTAACAGATGTCTAAACGGATATGCATGTTTTTTCTCTGTTTTGTATTTTGAATAAAAATTTCATCAACATTAATAAATAATTTTCTTCTAAATATTTTGATTTAATTTTCTCTGTAAATAGATGAATCTGTATTTGCATCTACAATCATGCAAATATGTGAGAATGAAGATTCTGATGTACCTAATTTTATTGTTCGTGCAATTCGTGCTATTGAAGCTCGAGGTATTCTTTTTTCGTTATGTATAACATTATTTTTTATAGTTTTATTCCCTGGTTTGAGTATTGGACCACTTACAGATTGAAATCCAAACAAATTTACAGAGATCTCATTATAACACTGATTTGATCTTTTATGATGTGATTAATGCTTTTCTCTAATGCTGTCCGTAATAGTATAAATTATCATACATGAGCATTTGGGTTATCCATACCACAAGAGAATATTCCTTCTGAAGGAAATTATGCAATAAACAGGATTCGTATTCAAGATCTTGTCGATCTTAAAACCTATCTTAAACCAGTTTCGCACGACATCTTTGTGAATAGACTTGGTTGTGTTAGTTGGCTTAGTACTTTTCAAACTATACCACCACTGTTAGAAATCCATGGAATATCGGAGAGTAAACTGTTTTCTGCACTAAACTACTTGAACATCTTATCAACGTCCATGACAAGACAGCATCGTTAGATTTGCTAGTTATTCGTGGCAAGAAGTTTAATACCAGGAATTAAGTAATCATGCTAATCAACCCCTAAATTCATAGGCTGTTAAATAACGTACAAAATCTAAATCCAGCATTCAATCACATTTCAAATGAATTTAAATCGTATAGGTGTAAAATATAAAACGGTTCATTTTCATTGAGAACTCGTTCGGGATTCTGTTATCCACTAACTATAAGCTTTTCATTGCAATAATCTGTACTTATGAGTAACCATGACTCGACCACATTGGTCTCACCAAGTCAAATGAGCAGAACTCAGTGGTTTTTTTGTTATGGGATACCACAATACATTTGATAAAACTGCTTTTTCCCTGTTTGCGTTGTGGGAGCGTGTTTCAAGCAGTACGATTCTCATATTCATAATCACTAACTGATCTGAGCAGAACCACCATTGGGGACTTGAAAACACTGGACCGCCGTTGTATTCTAGTATGGGGCTCCTTACCAGTGCACATTTGCGACCTCGCACATGGGAATCAAACTCAGGACCAACGATTATTGGCTACATCGACTGATGCTACGGTTAAGTTTGGTCTTCCCTACTTAGCTGTCAACTCACTCCTACAGTACCTCACTTCGATCATCAAGGTAGGCGGCGGTTAGTCGTGCATACTACATGTTCCAACAACCTCAGATAATTAAGAATCACAAGCTCATCAACCTATTTCTCATCCTTGCTTAGTATTCTACGTCCAAACTCACCTAGTTGTTCCACAATACGCGAATAAACTTTGAAATACGCTTATGACCAAAACCCACTAGACTACATATGTCTTTTATTTTCATAAACTATGATCCATAGTCATCGAGTAGGACAAAGAAGATTGCTTCTTTCTATACAGTTTTGTTGGTTGGCAGATATACATCTCACGTACATCACAAATGAATCTGATTGGGAGAAGCCAAAGGAGATTTTTAAGTTCATGGGGAGATTTGTTCAGACACCAAACTACCAAGTCTATCGAGACTCAGATCATTCAAGAGATTTCACTTTACGTCTTCGTATACACTGAATAGGACTTCATTATTTATGTGCTCCAAGTCCATAAATGAACCTCATATCCCGACCAAGACTGATCAAATTTTAATTAAGAGCATTAACACCACTGAATGGCTATCGGGACTCAGTAGATCCTTGGATAACGCGATGGCATTTGAGGCGTTATTTATTTACTTATTTATTTGAACACATAAATATTGGTACAAGAGAGCGCCAATATATATGCGCCACACAAAACAATGAGAATACGAAGAGAAGTAGAAAGAAAAAAAACTAAGGAACGCAAAAGAAAAAGAGAACAATGACGAAGAGATTGGAGTAAGGTAGTGTGGTAGTAACGACGGAACGAAAAGGTACAATCAGAAGAAATCTTTCAGTTAAGGAAGATACAACCACTTTTTATGAAGAAAGTAAAAGAAGGTTACAGCAGGATCGCCACTGGCTTCTATTCTGAGCCATATCTGATAACGTCTCTAGCCACTGTGTAGCACCATCTCTCGGACCCCAGCCAGGGAGTCGTGAAGGACCAACACAAGCCAGTCCTTTGGAGCTTTCTTTCATGCAACGACACCATGTCATGCACTGACCACCTCTCCGCTTCTTCCAACCAGTCCCAGAGTCGGCAAATAATGCACGACGTGGAATTCTCTGGGACGACATTCGGAGAACATGTCCAAGCCACCGAAGTCGGTGTTTCAAGATGGTGACACCAATTGAATTATCATCTCTGTGCCCGAACACACGATGCCGAACCTCAGCATTACTGACATGGTGTTGCCACTGAATGTCAGCAATCCTTCGGAGACAGCGATGATCGAACACAGAGAGTCGTCTAACGTCCTCAACTCGGAGAGGCCAGGTTTCACAAGCATAGAGCAAAACTGCTCTCACCGACGCGTTGTAGATCCGGCCTTTTACAGCCAGAATAACATCACGAAGGCGCCAAAGGTGGCCCAGATTGGCATAAGCCGCTCTGGCTTTCACTATTCGTGCATTGATCTCATCACTCACACCCCCACCAGCACTTATGCAGCTACCCAGATACACGAACTTCTCGACTACTTCTATTTGCTCACCATCCAGGGTGAGTACAGGATTGGAATCCTGCCAGTCTTGTAGAAGTACTTTGCACTTCGAAGATGCAAAGCACATACCATACCTACGGACACTGATTGCCAACTGATTAAGTGCGGATTGCATGCCTTGGGCATTATCGCACAGTAAGACAATATCGTCCGCATACTCAAGGTCGAGAAGTCTTTCTCCAAGCAACAGATCCACACCACCATTACTTACATTCATCAGAGCTGTTTCCAGTATGTCATCGATGGCAAAGTTGAAGAGGAATGGTGAGATTGGGCAACCCTGTCTAACCCCACTGCTTGAATGGAACAATGGAGAGAGGTGGTTGTATGCCCTCACTCTGCCTGAGGTGTTTTTATACAGGGCTTTTAGGATGTTAATAAACTTCTCAGGCACACCCTTCTTCAATAGACAATCCAGAGAACAGTCCTATCCAACGAATCGAAGGCAGCCCTGATGTCAAGAAACACTACGATTGTTGGTCTTTGAAAAGTATGGCGGTGTTCTAACATTTGGCGGAGGGTGAAGATATGATCAATACATCCTCGACCAGAACGAAACCCAGCCTGCTCCTCGCGAGTCAATCTTTCTCGGGTTTTGAACAACCTACGAAGAATGACGGAAGCCAATAGCTTGGACGCAATCGGAAGTAAACTTATCCCCCGATATTTGTTACAAGAACGACGTGAACCGTTTTTAAAGATAGGGACAACTTTCGACTCATTCCATGACGTTGGCACACTCTCTAGTTCCCAAACCTTTGTAAACAACGTCGTCAATTCCTTGGTCAAAAAGTCACCACCATCTTTAAAAAGAGCCGGAGGTAAGTCATCTGGGCCAGGTGATTTGTATCGCTTCAAGAGTTGGAGTTCTTTGCGGACTTCCTCCTCATTTGGTGGATCAGTCGTCACCGGCCATGGAGGGCAGGACAGTCTGACCGATGTTGCCGGAGCAGCAGGCCAGTTGAACTGCCCTTCGAAAAATTCTGCCCATCGTCCAAGACGTCGATGGATGTTAGTGACTGGCATCCCATCATCCTCGCAGATTGTTTCACTCACACCAGACTTCTTGCTGCCAGTGGCTCGGATGAGCTGGAAGAGCTTCCGGTAATTACCAGATGCAGCTGCTGCTTCCAGCTCATTAGCACGCTTCGACCACCAGGCTCCTCGGTCCTTACGCAAGCTTTGCCCAATTTCCTTATGTAACATCCTTCGTTTATGGTCAAACTCACGGTCACCCGGAGTAGACCGACGGGCTTCAATGAGTTGTAAGGAACCTGGAGAAACCCAGAGCTTAAAAGCGGGACGTTTCGCAAACCCACAACTGACTGTTCCCGCCATTTTCATGGCGTCATGCAATCGCAACCAATGCTCATCTATACTTTTCGGTGGAGTGGTAGCTAGCCTAGAGGCTAGCTCGGTTTGATACTTACCAGCAACAGAAGTTGCAACCAGCTTGCTAACATCAATCCGTTGATGGCGTTCACTTCGTTGTCCACTGAAAAGTAAGGCAAGATTGGCGCAGACCAAGGCATGGTCAGAGTCCAGATAGGTACTCCAAAAGGAGCGGCAGTCTTGTACACAACCACGCCAGCGGTAGCTGATCGCGATGTGATCAATCTGAGTCCAGGCTTGAGATGCAGAGGGAGGACGCCAGGTGGCACATCGGCGATGACTGTGCCGAAAGTTAGTGCTAGCCAGAAACAGGTTGTGGTCTGTGCAAAGTTGCAGTAGACGGTCCCCGTTATCTGACCTGCGACCAGCGAGTCCCCATCGGCCACCTAAACGACTCTCTTCTGTGCCTAGACGTCCGACCTGAGCATTCAAGTCTCCGGTTAGTACTACAATATCTGTCGAACGCACTTTCTGGAGAAGAACTGATAACTGGTGGTAAAACTCATCCTTGATTGCATCCGGACTGCAATCTGTCGGGGCATAGGCGGAGATGACGAAAAGACATCGTTTCTCACGCCGATTTCTTCTCACTTTGATGGAACTTTCTAATCTAACAGCACATAACCGACTGTTAATGGGGATGCAATCGACTAGTGCTGCCTCAGCTCTAGCGCTTAGTGCGACACCAACGCCTGCAAGACCAGAGGAAGATGCCACAGGGTCCCCGGATAAGCGCACGTAAAACAAGCTTTTCGAAGCGACAGATGGAGATCGAATTTGTAGTACTTCGCCAGAGTCTTGAATACGGGTCTCGGATAGACAACACACGTCGATATTAATACTTTCCAAAGACATAACCAACCTTATCTGTTGTCTGACCTGCATAAGTGTGCGAACGTTGAAGGCAGCCAGTTTGAATGTTGCACGTGGTTTCAGAAAAACTGCTTCAGTCCTCGTATTCGGTGGTAACATACAATTTTCAACCGGACAGTGACTCGAGAACGTTTAGATACAGTCAGATTTCCACCAAAGACGAGCCGCTGTATAAGTATAAAAGAGGGTGAATAATGTGGAAAATAATAATAATAGTGATAATAATAACAATAATGACAATAATAGTAGTAATAATAATATTAGTATTAATAATGACAATAATTGTAATGATAATAATCTGAATCAATTGTTTGTTTTTCAAAGCGAGAAAGGTAATTTTCATAGGCATAAAGAGTTCATCAATTTGTGTGTGGGCTGTGATACTGTCCGGGTGCCCAAACCGAAGCAGGTGGTTATCTTAGGGGGCCACTCCCCGAGCCTTTGACTTAAAGGTCTAACCCACAAGGCAGTGGAGCATCGTAAGGAGATGCAGTCCCATGGTAGCCGGTGACCAACGATTGGTTCATACGCCATTCGTTCCCGCAGGATACTGGAGCCCATGTGCACCATTGATTTGGGATCCGGTTAAAGCGCCGGGTTTGAGTTCCGGGATGTAAATCAACTTTGAGATGCAGGTACATCCAGCTGATGAATCCCAAATAGAACGAAACACGAGTCCTAGACTTAAGTGCTAACCACACTCTATCTATTTCATACTGAACGTAATTGTTTTTTAAATGTTAATCCATGAATATTCAAATTTAACAATTTTTATTTTACTTTTCCTATTAAATTTCAGGACTTGATCATGTTGGGATTTATCGATCAAGCGGAAATGGTGCTACAATCCAAAAACTTCGCTGTGCCGTTAATCAATGTAAGTGAACTGAAGTATACTGTTTATTTACTGTAAATTAATACCTCTTAACATGACTGCTTGAAATTGTTTTTAATATTCGAATTGTCTATAAAATCAATAATTTGTTTTTCTGCTACAAAAAGGTGTCACGGTGTGACTACTTTACGGACGACCTTTGAACGACGCTAAAGTGACCTTGAGAATGTCCACCTACTTACTAGGGCTAAACGAGGGTTATAAAGCAGTTTGAAGAATAAGGTTTATAATTTACACTTGACGGTGAGAGTTAGGAATTAGATTTATGATTTTCATCACGAACTGACATCAGCTAAATTGCCAAAACGTTATTTAGACAAATATATGAATGAATTTCGCGCCAAAATCCAAGACCTGTTATCCTAAATCTGATTGATTCGTCCATAAATTATAGTTTCGCCACTGCCTACTTACCTCAATTTAAGGACTTATATAGTTTAACGAACGCTCTTTTTCTCTGTCTTATACGTTAAAGCTTAAGATCGATCGTATAAATACATACTTGATCATTGGTTAGTATACTATTTTTGATTTGATTATTGTGTGAATATCTGTGGGTTTACATATAATCTAACGTTCTGAATCTCATTATTTTTCATGTGATTTCAATGATAGAATTAATTTCAGCATAACATCGAATGATCACCTGATAACTAAAGTTCAATTTGGATTGATTTAGACAAAACCTAAAAAGAATCAACCAGAATAACTGTCAATTATGTATTGAATTGTTATTGTTCATTTAGGCATAGAATTAGGTATGAATTAATAAACATATTACCACTATATTATCAATATTACATATGTGGGTGGCATTTTTTTGCTTTAGAAATATCATACACTGATTTTTAGTGTTTAATATTCTTTTTTTTTGTTTATAGTATGCATGGTCAATTGTGACTCTCATTTTTGATAGTAAATAGTTACAGTTACATAATTGGTAAACATTATATAAGTCAATCGACTTTTTATATGAAAAGTCCTGTTGCCATGTTCTTTTGTTTAGAAATTCCAAGTATGTAGTTTATTACACTACTATTTTACTACAGACATCTGAATTGTGTAACATTTGTTAAGAGTCTGTTTCCGTTGTTTTAATAATTTAGGGAACAAAAGCATTGGTAATTAGTTAACCGTTGGTTATCAGCCTTCAGTTAAAATCTAGTAAGCTTGCGGTATTTTGACTCTTAAATGATGTCACTTTCATGCCATTTACATAGGTTCTGTTAAAATTTCTCTTATTACGACCCAGCTACTCTTATTGTTTAGTATCCTAGGTCACTACTTCACTCGACAGGTTCCACTTTCGATTAATGATATTTGATTTTAGACCCTTTGGAATACTTTTAAAAAGACTAGGCTTTATGCTGATTGACAGTTGTGTCCGGAAAGCTTAAAGGCACTTATATTTACTCGAAGGCGATTTCAATACAGATCACATCGAGGACATTACTACTAAGTTATTCGGTTTTGATAGATATGTCCACATTAATCGACAACTTTATAATGATCACTATCATATCTTTTTTTCAGTACTGATTACATTCTCTTTACCAATTTATATGGCCAATAGTTTAAGTGGTAATTTAAACCAGTCGGGAATGACTTGTGGAATTACTTAAACCAAACAATAATCCCTAAAATTTGTTACTAATTCCAAACTTTTCATCAGTGATGAATACAAATGTATATACTTTTTCATTTCGTTTTTGATTATTTTGATTGTATTTTGGTGTTGTTGCATAGAAAGAATTACGGTTAAAATGCACTTTTGTTGTATATTTTCATTTCAATTACATCATTTGGTTAAAGTGCCAACGGTCATCATCATATCAAGACAAAAAGTAGTGATAATGTGTTATTATTATTGTTACTACTTTTTACTTGTATCGTCATTCATGCATGTTCAATGACTTCAGCTAATGTACAGAATATTAAACCAATAAATTGTTAATATTTACGGGTCGTACCCTCAAAATCTGTCGTTAGACAAAATTGTGCAGACGTCTTCCATTGCAAATGTTACATTATATAGTAATAAGCATTCTGTTAAGAGAAGACTGTTCCTTTTGTTCTGTTGTTTTAATACATACAATGAGTTGATCAATCAAAACTGTGTTTTAACTTAAACATAATGAAATCGACAGTCAGCAGTTATTATGGTTGTTCACACACACATTTTGTGTTAGATTCATAGGAAGTCAATTTATGTATATTTCGTTTGTATTAGTCATATTGTGTAATAGTATTACTAAGTTAGCTTAATTGATTGATAATTAGTAAGATTGGCAAATTGATCCTTTGCCCATGAGACTGTTCTTCAAATCTTAATCAGATGGCAGTACTACTAATTATAATACTATTACTACTAAAGTGAACGTTCACTTGATGGAGACAACTAATTCATTGTTCAATACAAATTACAGAATATCTTCGTTAAATATGAAAACCATACATTAAATACTTGATTTGCACATCATCCATCAGTTGTCTCTTACAAACTTCATCGTTACTTCATCCTTATTGTTATTACAATTACTCTCTGTTTACATTCCTATTCTCTTTAATTCGACCTTCTTAACCACCTGTTGCCAATCATTCCACTTCTGATCGGTGTTCACATAAACCACACTACTATCGACTGATTGCATAAGCAGTAATGAAAACCACAAATTACTCAGTCAAAATAGCAGGACTATGGCTCATTCATCAGTTTTGACTTAATAAGTTGTGATAATTCAAAATATAACGTATAAGAGCATCTTTATGTTTTTATTCGATAAGATGGTGGTTGGCGGTTGTTAACAAGAAACCCTGGACCGAAATCTCGTGCTACTTGGCACTCGTCAGCAAGGTGTACCTGTAATCTTGTATTATTTAAATGCCTAATTTCGCATATTTAAGCTTTAACTTAATTCGTAGATGGTACTCGTCAGGCATTGACCTCAGTTTAAGTATCACTGCTTAGAATGGATCAAACACCTAGTTTTTCGTTATTACAAGTTATTTTTTTAATGGATAACCTTGATGACATTTTCCTGACTCGGATCTTCTCAATAAACTTTCATTTCGTATTGTTTGTTTGAATCTCCCCATCTATGCCTAGTAAACCCAGCTGACGAGTCCCAAATAGGACGAAACTCGCACCCTCGATTTCACTGCTATCCATCATTCATCTTTGCTTTCACATCACCTGATTGGTTGCCATTACTTTAAGTATACTGATTTTTTGTTTATTATCGTTGCCATGTATACTGAGTCGTACCATTTTAGGTTCCGCCTAAATATCGAGTTTTCCCTACATTTCATCTTCAGTCTGCACTAACGGCTGGTTACTGAAGAGTTGTGCGCAGTTGCTGCTATTGAGTCTACAGTAAAAATGCTCGTATTAGAATAACGCAATCGTTCCTTAATTCGTAAACCTTAATGCACCCTCTTTTTATCAGCATTTAACATATTGAAGATCAGGGATCACTGGACAATTGTCTTATTCTATTATCATACTCAGCAGTGTGTATTCATAATCTGCATAAGAGTAGAATCTAAAACCTTCGAACTTCGCGGCATGCGATTAAACATTAAAGCTGCATCAAACGTCAAACAATTTTTCGTTCAAAATCCATTTATTTTTACTTATCTTTTGTTTATGAATTTGAATCAGAAGTATTGTTATTGATAGAGAATCGCAGTTACTACAATAATTTTTCATTGGTCTATAGAACTCACTTCTAAACATTGTGTAGATTATTTTAGCCTTCAAAGCATTTCAGTCTCCAGTCTTTGTAAAACTTTTAAACCTAGTGAAGATAACTTTTCCATCATATGTTTGAACACTGAACCAGAGTTTACATCATGCAGTAGGACTTACAACAACTTTACTTCTACAACACCATACAAAATTTCTTGAAATATTAAATATTTTCTAAATAACATGGTACTTAAATTGTGTGTCAAGGTATGCTATACAGGTATATGTCACTAGTCAACAAAGTTATTGTCAGTTTATATTATTCGGACACTTGTCTTTATTGTTTCCAATTTAAAGGTAAATTTCTTTGAGAATGAAATAGAGTAGTGGTTCAGTCGTCAATGTGTTCGACTTTAAGCCAATAAGTCTGAGGTTAGAATACTGCCGCAACTTCTTTAGTCCAGGCGATCGAGTAAAATTACTAACCCCTACACTTAGAGTGTGGCTCTAAACCGAGTAGTTAGTAAATGAGATAATCATAATGTTGGGAAACCAAAGTGACAGAACAAATTGAACAAGTTTTTTTAGTCTATGGGTGAAGGTGTGGTTTTAAGCCTCAGGCTGGAAATAGTTTTTAAACCTTTGAATACTATTTGAACCAAAGTTTCTCTCTTCTCTAGAGGTTTTTAATAAGTAGTTTATTATGCTATACAATGGTTAGCAGGTGGTCTGTTTATCCTAGTGTAGTTACATGTTTATACTAGCTAAGTTACACAAGCTGTAGGTAAAATTTATCAATCAAATTATCCAATGTTTCCATCTATACTATCTACTTTAAGTTCATTCTACATACTCGTGTATTGACGATGAATATCATGTTTTGTTCTATTATTTAATAAACTACACTTTATGATTGTTTACTTTTAAATTTTTATGCATATATGTAATGTACGTGTTATTATATTATCTAATATTCTTATGTATTATTAACACATTTTTTAAGGTTTAATGAAAAGCCATGACCTAGGAAGTCAACGGAATTGGAAGTAAAGACAATTTCACTAATCAATAATGCCTAGATAAAAATCGTGTTATGTCCCCTTAGATTTAAACAAAAGTATGAAAATATAGAATGTTTGGCTTTATGAACACATTAGCCTAATGGTTATTCTTGGCATCTGATATAAACGGGAGTATAAAAATGGTTTCTATTTTTACTGTATACTACTATAATAAGGCGATACAATCGCTTGTGAAGATCACATTACCATTAGACTGGATACTTACTTACGTCAGTTATCCGTCGTGGAGGAAAAAAATTTATTTATTTATTTGAACACATGAATACTGATACAAGGGAGAACCAGATACATATGCGTGACACAAGTCTCATTTGATTTGTGTGAGGGCTGTGATACTGCCCGGATGCCCAAACCGAAACAAGTGGTTTTCTTAGGGGGCCACACCTGGAGCCTTCAACCTAAAGGTCTGATCCACAAGGCAGTGGAGATCGTAAGGACGTGCAGTCCCATGGCGGCCGGTGACCAACGATTGGTTCATACGCCATTCGTTCCCTCAGGGTACTGGAGCCCATGTGCACCATTGGTTTGGAATCGGGATTTTCCAACTCCCCTTGGAACAAAGGCTTCCCACCAAGATTCTTCATCAAACTTTGTCGTCGGTAATCCTTTCCACTTGCTATTTATCCTTTGAATATAGAGGCGATAATTTTCTCAATACAATTACAGTCAGTTTACACTCAATGAGTTCAGTGTAGGAAGCAATAAAAAATTACATAACATATCTAATGTTTAGTAAGCTGAACGTCTCTGGTCACGCTCAATTACATATTACTTTCACTACTAGACATCAGCATTATTATTCACTTTAAATAATTAAGTTCAATCATTTAGATGATTGTGAATATGAACTGATATGAAGTATTAGATAAGGATAAAATAATTGTACATTAGTGTATACTTTTTCAATAATCCTCCAGTTAATAAGATTAATTTTAAATATCATTTCTAATTTAACTATCCTCTTTATATTTCATATATCATTAATACTATTTTAATGATCAATTGAAATACTTGATTTGTTTCTTGATTCTATTCATTATTTTTATTACCATAGATAACTACAGTTTAAATTCTGAAAAATGGAGTTTAGAAGTATTAACAGGGGCATTAAAATTATTTTTTCGTGAACTTAAAGAACCACTTATAACATTCAAAATATATCCAGAAGTTGATCAACTATTGGGTAAATAAATTATTTAATAAATATTAATAATACAGTAAATAATGTTTGCTAATTTTTTGTAACAGAGAAAAATTTTTTTCTCATTATTCCTTTTTCATCGTTATTGAAATAACTTGAAATCTGTGTTGTATAGTTTGAAATGATTTACTTTGTTTTAATGGTTTTATTGTACTGCGTTTGTGTAATTTTGTTTTTTTAAAAAAAAAAAAGATCAGTTCCTTGATTTGTATTAGCGTCTGTGTGATCGGACCGTCTATAATAGGAGGAGGACTATTATCTAGTTTGAATATTGACTTCTTTACGTATATGGCCTATGGAACTGATGACCTTTTTTTCAAAACAATGAACAACGTCTTAAGCCTTAATGCTGATTGGTCCTTGAACTCTTTGCAATTCAGTTTACAATCAGAAGATAAGGACAACAAACAGATTAATTCTCATTTTTACTCTATTCATTTATGACTCAAAACTCATAGAATACTTTACCTCGAATACCTGCTCGGGTAGTACAATAATAAGAGATTACAATGTATACACAACTCAACCATAAGTGGTACAAAATTGAGCAGTAAAAAAATTATTAACTAATGGAAAATCTGAAACAGTAAGACGTAAAAAAAATAGTTTATGTGTCGAGAGAAAATGTACAAATATGAGATAATAATACAATACCCCAAACGTTTAATAGTTCTGCAATAGAAATACTAACAATAATTTCCAGTAGAATGTTTCTGGAATAAAAACTACGCTCAAATCCTTTTCGGAATAACCAGTTTGGACGTGATTCTCATCTTAAATAGACACAAGTTCTAGTGCATTAGGTTTCCAGAAGAAATGTCATGTGACAGTTAAACTTTGTTTTTCTTAGGTTTGCCGAAGCCATAGTCACAAATGTCTCAAGTTAGGTTTGTGTATTCAAAGGGAACAGTGGCGTGTCTTTCCTTGTCATCGTGATGTTATCATCAATATAATACATCATTCTCACAACTCCCCCTTATTTTTACTGCATCTTTAATTTCAAATTCATGACTTTATTTTCAACTGACTAGTCTCAACTCAACTCATGTTATTCTTAATTACTGCTAATTTGTGTCTTCATAGCATAATCAGTTTAATTGTTTTAGCTCTGTAACCTCTGTAAATCCATTATCTTTCAAATATTATGTTTATTTACAACACACTACATCTTCAATATTATTACACTTTTTCGAATCTCCTCTCCACGGTAATGCTACATATCTACATCTAACCAATATCACTGTGTTCAGTATGTTAACTTTGTGACAATTTTTGAAAGCAATTAGAGGAACGTTGCTACTGATCATATTATTTTATCTAGATACTGAAACGACTATGAATAGGTTATTTAATTGCTAATGAGTGGTGAATTTACTTAGCTTTCTGTAATTACATGCTAATCCCTTCCTTAATGGATAATTTCGGTGACATTTTTCTAATTCATATTCCCGCTATGAAATTTGGTGTTAACTGATTGTTATCGCTCTTAGTTTGCTAGCTACGTTATGTTCCCCGAGGTCATTGTATATTACTTTCTTGGCATAGTTGTTCCTTGTCAATTGTCAACTTCTGTTCGGAATACAAAGCTATCCTAAAAGTCTCATTTTCTCTATCTCATGTTAGCTTGCGGTTATTAAAGATGACCTATTGTTTTCAACGTTCAGTATGTCGAAATTCATATTCGTTCTTGTTCGTCTTAGAAGACTCGTAGTTGTTCATAAAATAGGATTTACTGTTGGCCGTCTGGAAACCTCCAATTTACAATCGCTTTTATGGATATATATACTGTTTACTTTGTTATTAGTTTATATCACTGTATAATACAACATTTTGTATAATCTATAATTATGGATCGTTCTTAAATTGGATTTCCTTTTATTCAATATATAGGTGATAATGATATAGCGCCAGATTTAAAAGTGATTAGAATGCGAGAATTGATCAATTCTATGCCTGTCCCACATATCAACACATCTCGAATATTTTTTCATCATTTGTACAGGTAAGATGGTGAAATAAGTTAAGTTTTACTACGAAGGAATTACGTTTTTTCAAAGGAATTCTCAATATAGTACAAACGTGAAAATCGATTGTGATTTAGGATTATAAATTATATATATTACAACATAGCTTATCTACTTTCTTCAAGTTTTTCCCAAATTCTTGTCTTTTCTCTCTCACTCCTCAATCACATGATATTTCCATTGTTCAAATGTTGTGCGGACTAGTCGCCCAGATCCCTACCGTATTAGGAGACATCTTCCAAACGTTCTTAATTCGGAATAGTCTCTCAAAATAGAACTGTAAACAATCGACATAGACCAAGGTCTTTTTGTAGTTGCCACTATATCAGCAAGAGCCTATCTGCAAACTTAAGAGGACTAGTGCAACAATAGCATACTGACCCATGACACGCATCATCGGTTATAGTTGTTAGCATCCAGCTATGCAAGCCGCCATTGATATCCCATACGCATGTGACCGACCACTTGTAATGTTATGTATTGCTGTTGTGTGGTGTTGCGTTCTTAAAGCAAGGAAAAACGAATGCACTACCGCATCCGCGAATAATTTCGAACCATATGAAATAACAGTATTCATCTAGAGGTTCGATTTACAATTAATAACTTCTTGTACATTGCTTGGAAATAGAACTCTATGTAGGTTTTAAATCATCCTCATGAAACCACTCAGTCAAAAATTGCTTGTGCCACTACCGAATGAAATTCACTCCAAATGTTTCTTTGTCGTCGTCACGTTATTTCCTTAAAATCAAGGATATCAAGATTTCCAGATTATTCAAACATCCACAAATTGAATTCTAAACATATAACTTCAGGTGAATTAAGTCAACAGGAATAAGTGTTTTATGCATTTTTCAAAACAATACACATTCTAAAAAGGATTTTAAAGATTCCAGCTGGTGAAAGTTAAAGTATCAACTTCAAAAGTTGTTACATGGTATTTGGAGATCAAGAACACTATTTCAGACTGACCAGTTATATCTCATCCATATGAAGTGAGAGTTGAAGAGTTCTTAGAGATGAGTGAAGTCAAAGAGAAAATCGATAAGTTTGAGTACATTATTGGTGACTTGGAGATTATTCCATTGTATTTTAATCGAAGCTCTTTAACTACCCATACTAGAATAGTGTCTTATCGATATACTCACAGAGGAAATAAGGTAACATTGATTTATTTAGTTCTTGGTCATAACGCGTATAAACATAGAATCCTTTATTTACATTAAAAGTTGAGGGTTGTTTAAATAAGCTTGCACATAACTTTCTTAAAATCTGTTTTCAATAAACTTCATTTCTTTGTATTGTACTTTTTCATTTGTTAGAGTAATGCAATTGTCCAGTATCAACCAAATGCATTCTTACAATTTGGCTATTGTTTTCGGACCTAGTTTAATTTGGCCAGAAGTAGAGTCTGTCGCATATAGAGCACTTAAGTCTGTACAGGTCCCATGTATAGAATATTTGCTTACACATGTAGAGGAAATATTCGGACCAGTAACCCCACCGCCAGTTATTTCATAAGTCCATACATGGATATAAATACTGTTTCTAATATTTTATATGAATAATAGGTTAAGTCCAACCATTTTTTAAATACAAACACAACGCATTGCTCAAAATCTACTTGTTTGTCTCCGATCCAATTATCATTATCAGCTTTAGAGTTATCATCAAATATTTTTGATCTCTTATAATGTTTTTCAAGTCCATATTGTCACAACACATGTATAGTGTGTAATCTTTTGCCTTTTTTTAAAAAAAGCACGCACCGAGTAGTAATTTTGCAATTCTATATATTGTAACTTTCCTTAAATTTATTTGCTTTCTAGTAAGCACTTTTGTTTGCAATAAACATCACTTTATACTTGCTAAAATAATTGCAAAAATGTGATACAAAATAACACTCAGCACTGTAAATTTTTGTTGTTTTCTACTACATTGTTAGGGTTTGAATGATTTCAACGAATATCTTCTGTCCATAGTTTTCGTTTTGTTTAAATTGATTCATTTGTTTTACTAGTCATTTTAACAATTTTTATAGTGTTCTTGTTATAGTTGGTGAGGCAGGATTTCAGATTGAAATCAATAGGTAAAATGTTAAACGATAGGTGAACAGAACGATATGATGTGGTTAAGTGATGGCCACTCACAAGACTGTATTATTGACTTAATTCCATGAATAGTTAGAAATCAGAAACAAGACCACTAAGCAGATGTAGTGAAACATGTTCATATACAGCAAATGAACACAAGGTAAACATGATGAAATGTCAGGCGATTTGGAAAAAAATAGTTTGGTTAGGTCACCTATTCTTCAATTAGTTGAAAGTTTGGCCTCATTCCTGGGCTTTGCATCAGACCTTGTTCAAAGTAATTTCCGTTTTTCTCTTACGCCAATTGTACTAGTTACCGATAGAACATAGTGCTTGTGTATTTCAGAAATATTAAACTATTAGTTAGGCGTAAGTTGTAAATTCGCGCATCATATCACCTATTTCGGTTTGACCAAACGGGTGTGGCCCGAATCCGAATAGTTTTACCTTATATTTGGCGAATGAATTATATTTACAAACACTAAATAATCTAAATACTGTTTAGAAAAGAATTCACTTTGAAAGAACTAGATCAATTTTAAACTATCAACTACCTGCTCTTCCAAGAATATCAGGATGACATAATCATATTGTTGTTTCTGCATGGATTTTACTGATTATTAGGGTGTTCGGCTGAAAAAAAATCATGGACTGTAATAAAATAAAATTTCAAATGGCTACTGGTTTTTCCGTTTCCACTGACATACGTTGACATCCAACTCATCGTACCTAAGCATTACTTTGTTATCTCTTTATTGACCAATTAATTAGTTTCCAAGTTATTTAGAACTCCATAGCTTATTTTTATAGACAAAAAAGATCTTTTTAAAACCTATAGCAGTATAATGCACTGATTCAGGTTACAAAGCTTGATAAGATGGAGAAAAATGTTAACAGGGTAATTAGACACAACCATAAGATGATTAGGATTTACGATAATAGTCTACGCTTACATCATGTAAATCGATGCAATATTAGGTTGTCAAACTACTGAGTTTCGTAACGATGACCACAGATTAAGCAATACTCTATGCAGGTCGGTATCACACGTAGTTGTCCAACTTGTCAGTTTGACTATTTTCAGGTTTCTACCGTTGTAGATCTGCTCCATATAAATTGTGATATACATCTCAAAATGCAAAATATCTCCTGATCACCTTAGTCAGTGCAGATTAACACCATAATTCCCAACGTTTCTCGTTAGCATTGTGTACTTCATGGTCCCGTCAACAACACTGATAGTCAAATGCATATGACTATATGTTCTTTATCTTCAGCTGTTTAATTCCAGTCGTAAAACAGAACAGTTCTGGATTTTAAACATCACACAGCCCGATACACATCTTAACATCCTCACTACAATGAATGTTGTAGGTCATCTGGGTTAACAGACCTCTTTCTCTACAACTGGTGAGGAAATAAGTCAACTGTTTCTAAAACACGAGTTTGCTCGTACTAATCATCCCGCATTTTATAGGTGTTATGCACGTCTAATAATTTAGATCTTTGATTAGGGTTCGGAAAATGTAGCTTGATGTAATTAGATCATATTTTCACTAATACGTTGATTCACGTGGTAATAAATTCAGCTAATGTTTTTGTGTTATCGACCAAAATATTCAGTGGTAGGAATTAAAAGTAAGCTAAAGTATAATTATCATATAATTTACATAAATGCACAAGGTATAGATTATTCATTACAAGTCTTCATTCAAGGAGCATTGCGCTCTTAGGTACTACAACCGTTTGAGCGCTTTACGAAATGATGAGTTGTTGCGTTGTGTCACTTTAGAATGTGTACGCGCATCAGTCGAATTGCCTGACCTGAAATGAGATAACAGCGAAATACCGAGACATTGAGAACACTGCGGAGCTTATCACGTAATTTTATGTTGTTCTGTGAAAATAGTTATTAGATCATGGTTACAAACGTTAAAAAACCGTTACTACTGAAGGTCTTTATGAGCTAATGTATTTTAATTGGATAAAAATCAATTTATGAGAAATTTAGGAAAAGACAACCCACAGCTAATACTCTGATTACGTTACTCAATATTATTTATATTAACACGTTTTACATCAGTTACATTTATTTACTGTGCAAAAAGTCTGAGTTGGAATTAGTTCGCAAACTTCCAACAATAGTATCAACGACTGAAAAAATAACCCTGAAAAGTAACTTACATAACCATAAATAGAACTAACAAATAATTTAAAGAGGATAAAGGATACAAACGGGACACATGCACCATGACCAGACTACATGGAAGCAAGCATTTGTGAAAGCTCAAAGAAAACCTAAACACGAAACGCTATAATGCGCAGCCCATGGAATTTAATTTATATGATTACTAATACATATCGCGACCAAAATGATGAAAGTAGTCTTGTCTGACTTTTCTGGTCTTTGACCTGATAAGTGTCAGTGGTACCTAACTGTCATCAACCCTACGCCTAAATCTGCAACAAGGAATAAAGTTTCAGAAGAGGTTCAAATAAATATCTAACGCATCTACCATCGGAATCCTATACAGACAATACCCTTCGTTTTCGTTCGATATGACAGCCTTTAGTTATAAAATATAATACTAAAAGGAGATAAACGGAACTTGTAACATGGCTTGTACAAAACTGTCACGAAAATCGAGAGGAACACAACTAAAACTTAGGAGAGATAAAATTAGGTGGTAAACCTTAAACAACTCGGGAGAATACAATAAGCGAGACTAAAAAATACTGATTATGTCTTCTGACTGCAGATTTTCTGCGGCCTTGTAAATATTGAATTGTAAGCTTAGATTACGTATTACCATCAAGTTTATACACGTGCTGAGTCAACTTACATATCGACACTTGCATGGTCGTCTTGATGCATCTTCTGACTACTGACTTTCGCTTGTTCCCGAACGTGCCAGTAAGCATGTACTTCTGTGAGGAGCCGAGCTTCTGCCACAAACTCACTGTAATCTTCTAATAGCAATTTTCCAGCCTCCTCATTAAGAGCTGACTCTGGATTGGGTTCTATCAACAAACACCTTATAGTCTAAAGAGTAAGTTCCAACTCATTAACTCACTAGAAGGATATGTCGTAGTCCTAAATTGGATTTCCAATCCTTCTTCAGTGTGTTTACGCAAACCTCTCCGGTGTTTGGTGCTATGTTTGGGTGGAATATCTTCGTGCAAAAGTAAGCCTTCGGTGGTTCCATCGGATACTGCATAGGGATCAACATCTTCAGACGGAATTTGCCACCATCATAAGGGGTACCAACAGGACCGTCAAGTACGACCTGACAAATTAGAAGAAAGACAGTAATACAACTGACTTGAACTTCCGTCATATCTTGCTCATTGAGCATCAACTGGATACCTTCGACTGGTTCAGCTGTAAAATCACGCCACTCTTTGTACAAACGACGAGCGAATTCAGGAACCGCATTCTCCATCTACACCTGTTATCAGCTGACCTTCAACCTCACACGCGCGCTTTAAGAAATTGATGGAAAGATGAAGACAACCATTTCTTTCCAATGTTCAATAAAATGTGATATCTAGCATTTTCGCGCAGGTTTATATGTTTCTAGTATCTGTGACATGTGAAACGGAATAATCTAAGCCGCGAACTCCACCTTACTTATCTAAAGCTATATACACATATATGAATACGGTTAGGTAATACATCTCAACGTGCTGGATGAAATAAACAATCGAAATGAATGCATGATTTTAAAACTGGATAACATGTGAAAGTGAGATCATTTGCTTCATGGCTGATGCCTGTTTTTGTTTTGGTTACCTATAGCTTTCTGTCTACCTTACATTATGCCAGACAGCATTACATGTTTAGAAACATAGCTATTTGATTTCCACCAAATATGCCTCAAAAACATCAATCGATGAAGATTCAGTATGTTTCAAACTAATTCACCATAACTATTCCAAACATTTTATTCACAACCATTGGACCAGGCTTTGACTCAATTCGATCTTAAAGCAAACTTCACACTCTTAAAAAACTAACTCTGAACAAACGTGCTGTCGGACAGTGATTAGTTTTAGTTTCGAATATATTTTATAATGCTGTCACTTTAATGTCCAACTTATTAACTTGATTAAAGTTTTTAAAATTTATTCGACATAAACATTGTCTTTGTTAGTGAGGTGACTGTCAGCATGAAAGTTTCGAGGTTCGGGAAAATGAACTAATGATTCTCGTAAGGTTGTGTTCCAAAATCATGGAAAAATTGTTACGTTTTATTCTTATTGAACGTAGGCTTTATCAATCCCATTAACATATAGTCTTAACATCGTTTCATGCTTTCAAAAACCTGTAGTGACTTACTTTTATCACGAGAACACGATTGGTTTATTGAAAACAATTATTATTATAAACAATTGTACCGGTGAATGTTTAATGTGCTCTTTGCTTAACTGTGCTAAAAACATCCATTATACACACTTTGATTGTGAACTCGCGCGAATTCGGTTGCGCTCTGTAACCAAGCTTGTATCCTGGCACGATCTCGGTATTTCGATACCACGAGATCGCCAACAAATATATCTCGACTTGGTCCATTAACTGCCTTCTGATATATGGCTTTCGGGGGATTTTATCGACTTATTTGTCACGCCCTTCTCAGTAGCGGTGTTCATAGTCAACCGGGATTCGACGCCACACTACAAACCTTTTTCTGAATATGCATATGCAACTAGTTCGGCTAATTACCAGAGGCAGATATCAATGTTTGAGTTTATTTATTCCTCATATGATCATCAGTATTTTATGTATCTTAGCCAAAACTCTCTATGCTCTAATTTCTTTTAATGCATCTTTGGGACCCTCCTAATGTCATTGTTCGTCACTTCAGATGAAGTACTTCAAGAAGCAGACGAATACGATGAACCTCAAGTTTTTATTTCAAGGTTTACTTGGTTTTTATTATATGACACCTGAAACAATTTTATCGATCTTCATGTCAGACCACTAGAAATTGATAGAAACAATAGCCCGCTTGTTCCTATGACTGCTAATTAACTCAGTTTCCTTGCCGTCAACATAACTTTACGTGATAATGTCATTTGCGTTATACGGCCACCAAAGCAGCCATTGCACTTGGATACGACGAATGGGTTATCCACATCATATACTAACAGTGAGGTATCACTCCTACTTGGGCTGATTGCGCACATCATTCCTGTGTAACTCGAGTAGACCTAAGATTACTCAACGCAGACCATCTATGTTGTTGAACTATATGCACTAAAGACGAGTTCAACCATCAGACACCAACGTAGCTTTGACACCGAAAACCATGCTACCTCAGTTCACTAGGATTAGTATTATTGGTCGAGCGACGTGTTAGGCGCATAATTTCCAACATAAACTGACGCCCGCATTGATGAACCCGACGTCACATAAGACCTAGATCGGTCCCCTCCTTTTACCAGATGACATACACTTTGTCTGGATTAATATCCCGTGCGCGGCAGCCATTTGTTTTGTGGGTGTTACAATTGCTCGATTATGCTATTTTGTCTTCTGGTCTGCATAAAGTAGGATGAAGCGACAAGAAAGCAAAAAACCTACAAACGAATTGTCTATCTCACAAAATACAATGAAATCAAAATCGTGCACCCGAACTGCTAATAGTCAAGTTTATGCCGTAACATGTGAGCAAGTTTGTAAGCCTTATTCTGAAACAAACGCACTTAATAGATTACCCTCAAACCTTAAGAACATTCACAATTCTCCGAAATAGTGTGAGACTGTAAACCGGATTTCGTTATGCGAACATACCTGTTCGGAAAACGTTTACGTTTGAGTCATAGTAAATGCTATTTAGTGACGGGTTATAAACAGGTTTCAAGATTGAATGAACGAACTGCATGGAATTACGTTCACTAACGATAAGACTCACAAGTCAGCCTCAATAATTAAGTATAAATATATAGAACGAGGTAGGCAAAAAGACATCACAATAAATAGACAACATAGATTTGTCCTCCATAGTTTGTCAAGGTTTAATCACAACTTGAACGAAACAAAACTGATCAATGATAAGTCCTAAAATTGACAAATTAAACCATTTTATTCATGAAGCAACACTAACACGTTTTAACTAACAAAACACTACAAGTACTGTACAATATATACACCAGTTACATATCACCGTGTGAGCTAATTGCTGTCCCCGTGGTACGCGAGAGACTCCTAGTTGTAAAGAAAAAACAGAAATGGGGAGTGAGTCACATCACAATACTGAAGATTTTATACAAACAGTAAGGAGTTAATATAAGCAGACATGTTAAATAATCAACCACGCATTTTTATAGAAAGTATGAAATAATACCTGGTTGTTTGGATAAACGCAAAGTACCATCATAAAATAATTTTGCATGGTAGTATTTTTCTATGCAATATCGAATAAAACTTTACTATTCTTGCCGATGTAACCGCTTCAACGTAGTGATGTAAGAGACAGATATAGCGTAGCCTCTACACATTTTATTAAAGAATACAAATCGGAAAGCGATCTTATTTGACAACACTAAGAATGATAAACACATGAATTTCAATACATGTAAAAATGAGATAGTTTTGTAGTGCTTATGAAGTTGACTTATTAGCATGCTTTATTTAACACTAAAAATTGCGGTAAATAACTATAGTAACCGGCTACTAATGAGCTCAAGTATTTAGTGTAATTTTAAAAGTAATGCAGTAATCAGTGGAACCAAAAAATCAAGATATTATATTTGACAACAACATAAAGCATGCATTTTTTTAGAGAACGGTTGCACGAGTCACACAAAAGCTTACATCTACCTTAATATGTTACGTCAATAAGTGACGGATTAAGAATAGGCATAAATCCATGAAGCTTTTGGCAAGTAATTACGATTGAGTACATTAAGAGACGTTTCCAAGTTGGGATCGAGAGGCTTTGTACACGTAACTCACTAGTCCAGAGTCAAACGACTAAACCAATAAATAAGTTTTTAAAACTCACTTTAAATGTAAGCAAAACTAGTCCACATATTTGTGGTACCTTAGTAATTAAGAAATTGAGTTCCTGACGTTTCATGTCTCCTTCAAAAAATAATTAAATAGCCGAATCAAGCTTACGCAAATTCAAACAGTGCAGAAGGACAAGACAGAATATTTGGTACGATTAAACAGAATCTGATCGTACCAGTGTAACGAGATTTCGGTCAAGGTGATTTTGTATTAGATATCATTGTGTATGCGAGTGGGTGTGAAAAATGCAATACTTTTTAAATCTGAAAGAACAGAGCAAAATTATCATGTGTTTATTATATAAGAAATGAACAAATTTAAATGCGATTGTTTGAATGAACGGTTGAAGTTCGCTGAATAGTTAGGTCTTCCCTACTATTGTTAGTTGTGGCGTTTAACAAAGCTTTAACAGCCAGTCTTTCACTATATTTAGAAGGAATTTTTTGAATTTTGATATTTTTTATATCGACTTGATGGCTTCAAAATAAGCATCTAATACTAATGCTGATTTGATCAGTAAATTTCCCAGCTCTACAGATCTATAAGGTTTTTTTGTGTAGTTTAGATATTCTTTAGAATTGGTCGAGATTTCACGGGAAGACTCTTTGACCTAGAAAACACTTAAACATAGTTTTTAAATACAGCTTTATGCAGAAGTAAAAGAGATCTTTCCTTTAATTCGAAGAGTGCTAGTTGTTATATAGAACGATTTAATTCTGTGTGGTTTCAGGATTCATGACACTCCATTATTTTGTTAGCATAAATGATCAGCTCAACCCCCAACTTATTTGAAATTATCAAGTCAAACCTTCGCAACGGGAACTAACACATAGTAAAATAAATACCAATATGAGAAGTACTAGACAAAATGCTGACCGTACCAAGGTTGTTTGAACCACACAACTATGAAATCCGAATAAAATCAAAAAAACCTAAGTATGGGACCGATGTCCCGAAACTGGTTTCCATATAGTGTGTGCAGTAAAAGTATGTTGTAGTGTAGATTATACATACAGTCAAAGATGATAAGACAATTATAATAGTAATAATGATAATAAAATCAAATGATAAACTTCTGATAAGAAATGCTACATTATAACAGATGAAGCAGGATAAAATTGCAAGGCCAGAAGATAGAACATCGAAGGGAACTACACACAGATTATATATAACTAAAGCTTCTGCAAATTAGTCGAGAAGTAAGGATAAATCCTGAAGTAGATCAAATCAGACTTTACAAGTAATATAAAGTAAGTTACCACTTACAAATCGAATAATGAAGTGACTAATGTAACTAGAAATAATTCAGATAAAATTAAAATATTCTCAAATATGATCCTAGCCCTATTGTGATTAAAATCTAATATTCACAACCAACCCACTCATGAATGAAAATTTTTTATACCTACTCTGCTAATTATCAGTATAGTCTATCATCGAATGAAATCAACAATTTAAAAATGAAGCTATCGGTAGTTACTATTATTATAGAAAAACGGATACAAAAAAGGAAAAAGTTTTGGATTATTTGCCTTTCTCCCAATTCGGAACAATAATAATCTAGCAAGAAGGAGTAAGTTGATCACGGACACAGAAAATATGCACTTAGATATTTTGTTTCTGGTAGCGTTTTCATTGCTGGAAGCACTAAAGCACGTTGTTAGTGTATTCGAAAGAGGAACTTATTGGCATTTTGAGGTTCGTAATTCTCATTTCTACAAGAATCGGAAACCGTACACAAAATCTGTATGCTCCATGTATCCTTCTCCTTCGTTAGTAAATACTTTGCAACAAGTTCCTGATCAAGTAATCCCAACAAACGATTATGTATGCATTGTTCAGCATTCTTATGATCACAAATATTGTCAAACAAACGTGAATCTGTTCAATAATTTGTATGATATTAGACAATAATTTTGTTTTCGCAGTGGAACAATTAACTCATGATGATTAATCCCTGTATAGACGTTGACCCCATCAATAATTCAGTTTATTGTATATTCACTACTTATTTTTTGCATATGATATTTAGCAACTGTTTATTGCGAAATATATTACGTAGGTGACTGTTCAAATTATGACACGACATTCGTAACCACTTTATAAAAATTGGCTAGTTAATAAAATATTGATTACTCGGGTTAGTTTTGTAGCACTGGATATGTAAGCAGAGAACAGTCACGACATCTAATAAGGGATATGTTATGTTGGCAAACAAGTGAAATTCATTAGGTTACATGTAGTTATGTAATACCCTATTAACTTGAACAAACTTCAAACACCATATTGCTCAAAACTTTTATAGTATTAAATATCACCATCTAAGTCCTTAAAGTTTCCAAGTTAAAATATTTCTACTAGATATCATTATGCCCTGGTATGACCCATGGTGGGGAGAGTCCGCTCTCTCTCTCTTAAATTGCTCTGACATCACACGTATACAGCCACTGCCAGGGAAGCCCCACTCACTGCCTTCTCGTGGCGGAACTGTCGTTTACGAAATTGAGAGGGCAAAAAGCGGATGTTTGGGGCTTTAACCGGGTTGGTTGACACAAATGATCCACCTAGGGGGAGTTAGAAAACCCTGACTCCGAACAAATGGTGCACATGGAATCTAGGGTCCTGAAGGAACATAAGTAGTATGGACCAATCGTTGGTCACTGGCTACCATGGGACTACATCTCACGATGTTGCTCCACTGCCTTGTGGATCAGACCTATAGGTCATCGGCTCCTGGTGTGACCCCCTAAGGAAGCTGCTTACTTCGGTTTGGGCAACCGGGCAGTATCATAGCACACACACAAATCAAGTGACCTGTGTAGCGCATATGTATTCGGTGCCCCTATATTTATGTGTTCAAATAATAATGATAATCCTACTAGACTATATTTAACAACAGTTTAGTGATATTTATTACACAAATCGATGTAATGGTAGAAGAAAAAGCACATTGATTTATATTAATAAACTGAATTACAACTACGTAGCACACTCTTTGGTTACTTTTGAATTTCTCATGAGATGGATTGTGATTAGAAGTGGAGTGTAAAATGGGACTTATTGACTCGATCTACCTTCATTGCAGTGTTCATGTTCACACTAAATGAGATGGAAGGCGCGTTCTTAATCCCATTGCTAACCGCAATTCATCTCTTCTATAAAACTAGTAATGGAATGACTATATCAAAGTAATCCGCATACAATGCAAATATACTAAGACTGATCAAAATTCAGTCAATAATGGCATAATTCAAACCCTTAAAAACTAAATCTATTGAAACTATTACTAGTCGGAATGAATTAGTTAAGATTATTGAAAATTATGCAGAGAATGATTCTCTCTTTTTGGTTTTTTGAGTTCATTAGTTTCTAGATTAACTAATTATTATTATAATGATAAACCTGCATCTGTTTAAAGCAAACTTGTCAACTGCACCATAAATATGAATATGTTAATTGTAATTTGTAATCAAAAACAACATTAGGGTACATTTAAAACTTATACTAATTCTGTTCAACAGTTAACTAATGAATAATTACCAATTTATTGTACATTTATTTGGATCACATATTTAGTCTTTTTACTTTTATCTAAATTCAACTTGTTGGAATAATTAGAAAATTATTCTGTATAATGTGAAACATCTACTTTCTTATCCACATGTAATTAATAATAATTCTACTTTCCAACTAACTATTTATTAACAATTAGTAATACATAACATTATACTATCGATATAAATTTAGTCTTTTTTTACTTTTCAAGTCGCAAATTTAATTCCTCAAAACGACTGAACTATTTTGAGAAGATTTTTTGGATTAAAATGTTTTTAAACTTAAAAATCATAGATATTTCAACATCCAAATGAAAATTAATTAGGCTTCATGGATTTTAACCAATGAGATTATAATAACAAACGATTCATAGATAATTAAATAATTTATAGAGCTGACAAAGAGTGTACACTTCAACTTATTGAGAACATTTAAACTGAATATTATTTCTTTCAAATATTTATAATTATTCTGCTTAGAAAATTGGTTTTTACAAATATCAAGCTGAAAAGTATACGGAATATTCAGAAAATGAAGTGACTAAATGGGTATTTCTAATAATTCAATGTGGTCTTACTACTTGTGATGTCATTATCCAGTGAAAATTATGCAATACATTAACGAAATGTTACCGGTCAAAAAGATGAGTTATTTACCACAAAGTAAATCTTAGTTAACATTCACTCTGATTAAATCTTATCGTGTCAATCTCTTCGATTTTTCATATTTAAACCTCTGGAGAACGCTTAAGTTTAGTTACACCCATATAATGAGACATGGTGGAAGACAATCACTAAGACAATATTCTATCATGGATTTACAGTAAGTGGACGAAATGGAAAGACTAAAAAATGCAATGTACTCTAGTATAAAATCGAGATCCTAGATCTCTAGCATAAAATTATGATCAGTGAGTGTTCACGTATCTTTTGTTATCTTCAAAATGTTGAGGACACTTATTTACAATTTTAACACATCCTACACAAACAGTGAACACTATGTAACTGATAAATGTTAAGATTGTATATCCTATCAGTTTCTGAAACATAATTCTCATTTTTGATGAGGTTAAACATTTATATGATTTGTCTACTCACTTCGTAAAACCCAGTTTGGTAACCACAAATAAACCAACTCAGCAATAATGGATGTAATTGTAATTCACTGATGTGTTGTTGTATATTTGAAGAATCTAATGATCGATTCTGTTTTGTGGACTGAGATATATTCTCAACCGAAAATTCATTAAGTCCAGGTTTACACGAATTTTTAATTTTTGATCCCTGTTTTTTATTACGAGGAATAAGTGGATTAAGTGAAGTTTTGTGCAAATGAGAAGTAATTTCATTTAATTCTTTTATGTCCTCATCTTGAACAGAGGATTCGTATGTGTCCCTGGGAATAAAAAATGTTCCAAAACAATAATACACAAGTTTTAACCCGGAGTGTTAACTATTGAATATTACAAAACAGCAATAAAACGTAGGATAAATAATATACAATATCTACAAAGAATGGATTGTTACGATGGCAGAACAAGCTAAAAGGATCCTTAAAATTAAATAATTTATCAAGTCCCCGCAATTTTCAAGAACAGTTTTAAGTGAACCGTAAAAATTCCTATATAGAATGCAAGTCACAGAAATTTTTTCCAGGTCATTCGAGTTCAAGAAGTCTTACATAACAATATACCGACCAAATGCGTTCCGCGTATTTACCTACTACTTTAAAGTCAGTCGAACTACCAGGTACAGTTTAGCTGTCTTTACAGTGATCGCATACTGTTGTTTCAAAAAAATTTATTGAATGGCGATTTCTTCTAGTTAAATTCTAAGAATCCATTTTAGAAAGAATTATAACACTTTAACTAAAATTTGGCAAGGTAATGACCGATTTATTTTAAAGCAAATACTTACGGACTTCAAAATAGTTAAACTAAAGTCTGAGTCGTTATACCAATATCACATGATAAACACTGAAAAATATTACTCTAAAGAAAATACAACCAGACTGTCAAAGAGTGGAGTGAGAAGCTAGATTACGATACGATTCGGTAGTAAATAGTTTTTAAAAAGAGATAAATCCAGAATTTTGGTTTTATTCTTGTGATCAAACGTTCTACAGACTAATCGCACCAGTAATTTCTTCATATTAGGAGGAAGGCTATACATTTATATTTCAATACAGTTTGCGTAAATTAAATTTCACGACCGATATATTTTCTGAGTCGATTGCAATATCTACTTTAAACTTTTCTGAATGATTTGTTCTTTAAGCTCTTTGATTTAATCGTGAAGTTTTTATTGTCCTGTTTGATATCAACAGCACACACTTCAGTAAGACGTGAATTATTAGAATTTCTCCGTAATTTACTAGCTGTGGACAATTATGGGCATGATTTCGATTGAAAAAAACGTTAAAATACTGGACAGAGGAAACACAATGAAAGCTAGAGATTCCTCAGCAGTATGATTCACTGGTAACGCATTGATCAATAAACACGTCGAGAGTGACCCAATCTATCAACCAACAAGGAAAAGGTCGGTGAAAACAATAAAAAATCGTAGAAATAACCAGCCGAATTCCAAGTCAAGAGAACAGCTAGTCAGTTGTGGAACAATTCTAGTAACTCACTTCTTCTTTGAGTGTGCGCTGATGATTTTATCAAGAAAGATCATGAAAAGCTTCGCGATCAAATCACAGAGCTTAGCAAACAAAACACCCTCAAAATCCTCAACCTTAGCTACAAATATTTTCCGCCATCTTACTTTGAACTGTTAGCCAATACCAAGGGTAGACCAGGTATGCTAACAGATATACATAAAGTATTTGTTACTTTGACCGGAAGTTTCTGATTACATTAGTAAATAGCACTTTAACTGTTAGCACTTGGTACCTTTTAAATTCCCTCTTAATTAAAGAAAATGTGAAGAAAAAGCAACCGAGAGCCTAGCAGAATGGTGAACCGTTCAAATTGGTCACACTTTACAAGCAACACAATAAGAAATATAGAGACAAGGGAAAAAGTAAAGCCACAACAAAAAAGTTAAGAGCATAATTTGTTCTTAGAGCTTTCCGTCTCTCTACTAAACGGCAATTAAGAACAGTGAGAACTAAACATTTCATACAACCCACTGTAATTTACTGTTTGACAGATAGATGGAGTATTACATATGAGATAAAATTCGATCCCCCAACACAACGATATTAGTTACAACTCAGACAAACATCCTTTATTACTTACTCCTCACATGACTATAAGAATATTTAACTGTTACGAGTGACTGACAACTACAACCTAGATGGTGAGGAAATTGCTTAGCAAATCATTCCTCACTGAAAACGCATAAAATAGTGAATACCTACTAATAACTGGTAACAAACGTCACGTCAGAACTCAGTAACACTGAATATACATACTGCAAAAGCTATTCAGATAATGAAAAATCTGAAAGTAGACGATGCATTCGACAGGTAACTAATTCAACTACTAACGGAATATATATTACTCAAAAAATACAAACTAAAATAAATCCATGACTTTGTACACAGGGTACCCAAACATTATTTAATAGGGGTCAGATTTACTTCATCAATCTATCTGGCCAGTCATTGCATACAATATAAAGAAAGGAAAAACTGGCATTTCCAAAAGGTTCTATTTTTGGTCAAACCAGCTCAAATTTACTCCTATAATGAATGTCACAGTTGATCGGTCTCAAAAACTTCGCTGCTACTACCAATTTGTTCAAATTAATAGATATTCGGATTAATTGACCACTTTTTGAAACTAAATAAATCTCTTTACGCACACTACTGACAAATTTGGTACAAGATGATGGGTAAAATTTACCTGGTGTCGGTGGTATTTAGCTAATTTTGTACTTAGTTATAATCCTTGAAAAGTTTCCATTTCGCCCCTAAGTTAAAAAGAAATACACAAAGGCAACAGGAAACAAAGGACTAACAAAAACTAATTTTTTAGATGATAATGATAACCTATAATAATCCACTACCCTAGATAATAATAAACATACTCCACGATACTTACCGTTTACTATCAAGATCTTCTTCGAGTTCACATTGATCACTGATCTGTTCCTAAATAAAAGGATGAAGCATTAACCAATGATAACAATACCTTCATTGAAAGTGCAAATGATTTATTCATATTGTCTGTCACGTACGCCTCAAACTCAGAATTAATATAATGCAGATCTTTAGAGGATTTCTGTTCGACATTCTCATAAAAACAAAATGATACTGTGAAAATATCATTTTCATAATCAGCTGTTAATATTTTAGCGTAGTAATAGGCTTCATCTTCACTCCATGTGCAAATGCACATATCTCCATTGTTCCATAATTGGACAGGATTCTTTTGGCTTTCAGTTTTCAAGCTAATTGTATTCTACATATAATAAAGTGTCTTTTGTTATTTGATACTACTTTTAAAACAAACCATAGAGAGCGGCAGATTTAATAAAGTGTTAAGTTTTGTAGCAAAATACGAATAATCCACTGACTAAAGACAAAATTAGAGCAGAATAATCCCACATACGTCAAGAGTTGACGTGATTTTATCATTTTCACATAATAATTTAACGTTTTCTGGTGTTATATTTAGCAAATCACTGGAATAACATGAAGTTGTGTAACTGCTTGAACGAACAGTAACAAGCGAGTTTTCCAAATTGATTTCCTCAATAACAAATAAATCATAAACTTTGTTTTCATGCTGATAAATGCAAACATCTCCCAGAGACCACATTATTTAGTCAGGATTACGAAATAAATCAATGAAATCTTGGTGTCCAGAAGTTCATCTGTAAATAATAAAAAATGCGGAATATTAGATTTAAGATAAATTGCTTTAAAACATGAAAACAATTCAGTAATACACCACATCTGTTTATCAAACCTTGAGACATTTATTATAGTGTGATACGAAGTAATTTTTCCCAAAATGTTATTAAGTGAAATGAGGTTTCTAGAACCCAGCTCAGTAGTAGACGATTACTTGGATGTTACCGATTCCAATGAAAACATTACGTGATTCGTTACAACTGAAGTTGTGTTTTGAAAGACAGAATAAGTTGAATAACAAGTTCATGACAAATAAATCACTTTCAAACAGTCAATTTAAGCTACATGAGTAAGTAGTCAATATTTATTTAAGTAAGATCAAAGTTACCCCAAGGACTTCCCGATAACAGATATAAACATGGTACCTACTAAACAACTCTTTTACAGAACTCTCTATCCTTACGACATACGCGCTAATGTATACATGAAGGTAACTAGGAAGGGGTTCTTGAGTCTGCCTTTGGTGCTAGTGAGATGATTGAACTGGCTGCAATCCAATTCAGTGTAACACTTACTTGTAATAGACAACTCTTTTGTAGAGTCAATTCAACAAACAAATTATCCTTATGGATAACGGCTAATTTTGTTAGCAAACGTAACGAAATAGCGATTGTTTATTAAGATATTTGGTGTTTGCCAGCGTATTGTTGTGTGGGGTTTCTATAAATAACCTCTGGGGATTGTTTATAGAAATTAAAACGATCAGTAGATCTAATACGGAACTCCGTACGGAAATTCTGTATCCTAAGAGGTCTGACTTACCCTGAAAACGAATTGCCGAAGGAAGAGACACGACTTAAACCATCTCTCTAATGGCAACTGAACACTAACCTCTTTATGATTGTTGCAAAAAACCATTGTTGGCCTAATAAAATTTGACCTAAAAGAACATGTGTTCCAGTTAATACAACTCAACCGAGTCATCATGATAGGGAAGCCCGAACACCATGTCAAGGTAGCAGCTATGGTCAGGGTATTGAAGAATAAACATATTTGCTGGTAAAATATAGTTCCATGAGCCAGTGGAGACTAGGGGTTGCATAACTTTAGGTTGTGCTGAGGGAAGAGTCACTGGTCGCTAGTTTGTAGGGTCATTGGGCCGGAACCTTGGGTAAACTTTTCATAACCCAGAACTAAAACGCAGATCAACGAATGTGAGAGCAGTACACGAGCATATGTCACCAGATTTCAGTGAGCCCCCACCGGGAAAGTGGAACGAACTTAGTGAGAACCTTAGTACAAAGGTTTCTTCTTTTTTTAAACTGTCAATGTGTCGAATGTTCGTCTGCAGTCTATCTAACATGTTTTCAGTTTAAGTGGATTGACAGTGTGGCTGTGTAGAATCTTAAATTGTTTAAAGGTTTTACTGACCATTTGTGAGACTGATTAGAAGCACACAAGATTACAGTGATCAGGAAATTCCAGCGAACACTTAGATCAATCAGTGGACTACTCCGTGTTCCTGTTGAGAATTCATCTTTAATATGTTGGGGTTTAGCTTTGCAAATATAACGTATTGATCGGAAGAATGCTTTATTCGAATTTCATGAATAAATAGGAGAACTACGACACCCTTATCACTTCCCAAAAGGATCTAGAATTAAGGTTGTTAATTAAAAAAGTTAGTCAGTAAAGACGAAATGTGAGCTCTTTCTATTTGCTGATAATTCATTTCTGGACAAACATACTGTTCTGTGGTTGAATAATTTAGCTTTAGTGAAGTCATTCCCTGAACCGCATGTATGAAATTAAGAAGAGTGAAGTCTCCTGAAGCTGAGATAGCTGTTCTGGTCTAAAATAACTATCTGATCATTCTAACACCTAATTTCCCTACTGTATCATAAAACACTAGACTTTTGGAATGAATTCAATTAGATATAGTGTAGTACTGGATAACAAGACTGAAGATTATACAGACCCACCCAATAGAAAAAACGTTTGGAAACAGACCTGACGTACAACTAAGTAATAGCTAACGTATTTATTTATTTATTTTAACACAGATACTGGTACAAGGAACACCAAATACATATGCCCCACACAAATCTCATTCAATATGTGTGAGGGCTGTGATACTGCCCGGGTGCCCGAATCGAGGCAGGTGGTTTTCTCAGGGGGCCACACCCCGAGCCTTCGACATGAAGGTCTGATTTACAAGGCAGTGGAGCAATGTAAAGAGATGCAGTCCTATGGTAGCCGGTGACCAACAATTGGTTCATACGCCATTCGTTCCCTCAGGGTACTGGAGCCCATGTGCACCATTGGTTTGAAATCCGGTTAAAGCGCCGGACATTCGCTTTTCGTCCTCTCATTTTCGTAAACAACACTCCCGTCACGAGAAGGCAGTGAGTAGGACTTCCCTGGCAGAGGCTATATACGCGTAGCCATGTGAGAGCATTTCGAGAGGGAGAGCGGACTCTCCCCACTCTCGGCCATACCAGGGCATTTGGGGGCATTGTTATTGGATGGTGGTTGGAGGTAAATGACAGGAAACCCTGGACCTGGGTTTCGTGCTACCTGGCACTAGTCAGCAAGGCGTACCTGTGATCTTTAGGGAACTGGTGCTCCCTGGAGGATTCGACCCCTTGTCACCCAGCCTCACAGTCAGAGACGTTACCATTGGGCTATCCGGGTTTTCCTCTCAATATGAAACAAAGACGTGTTGCCGATTAGTATTGGCAAAGTTGAAGTCTTGTCATAATATATTGATAATGTTTCCTACTGACGATGGTAAAAGGCCAGCCATCAACAACAATGGAGTGTTGTTGACGGACCCTTTGTTTATTAACAAAGAAGTTACTCTGCGACTACCCCAACACATTGAACCAGATAAGTTCAGTGGTGCCAACGATACCCATGCCCGAATCATAGTAGCAATTGCAGACGTAGCTGTGGAGCCATCGGCAATACTGCTCTGATTTCTCTGAAGCAAACTGACAAACCGGGAAGATAAGTCTGGTCTATAAAATCAGATGTAAATACTTAGTCAATAACTAGCACCTAGTTAGCCTAATCAGTGGTTATCAAACAAAATGGAAAGTGTTATTCGGTTTGCTGATCTATATCATGTGGAATGGACTAGTCTTCTAGAGAGAAAAAATCAGGTTAGGAAAAGTCTCATATTTGATTAATCTTTTCACTCCAAAGGGAGACCGGATTACAGCAAACGATCAGAATACACAGAGATGTAATTTTCGTCGGTCTAAGTAAAGTCTTTGGCAAAGTTTCCTATCTAGGTACTAAAGCGAAATACGAAATTTTGGGACCAATAACGGAGTTGGAGGTTGAATAATTAACGTTCTCACTCATAGGAAGTAGCGAGTAAGAGTAAACGGTGGATCGTTATCAATGAAACTTGAAGAGTGGACAGTTTTGATCCTCTTTATTTCTTCACTTAACGCAAATTACCTAGCGAGTGTCATGAAACTATTCGTACTACTTTTACAGATGACATTAGAATATGGGGACTCACAGACAATGTGTACACGTCTAATGAAACAAAATTTTAAGACTCGAACTCACTGGTTGAGTGGATGTATTAAATGAAATATTAAAAATTAAGGGTTAACGAAGATCCTCGAGTATCCTTTCATTATCTCTGAAGACGTATGAGTAATCGTAGTCTCTTTTTTGTGTTTAAAGCAGGGATTACTTGTATCACTCAATTCATACAACTCATCCACTTTTCAGATGGGTTCGTATTTAAGTAGTCGGTACTTTGGATTTGGAGTGCGCACTCCAAAGCGCATAAGTAGGCAATTCCGCGGACATTTAGGCGAAAATTCCACAATTCGTCGGAAATTTAGGCAGAAAGTGGGTAATTTGGCGGATATTTAGACGGAAAGTAGACAATTTAGCGGATATTTAGGCGAAAAGTCGGCAATTTATCGACAAAGCGGCAAAAAGGGGGGAATCCGTAGTATTTTCCCCGGACAGGTGAAAAAGGTGACATTCTGATGCGTTTTCCCCTTGATTTCCCCTTTCTCTTCCAAAGCATTTACCTCTTTATTTCCCCTTTGTTCGCCTTTATTTCCACTTATTTGGTTATTTGTGGCATGAAGAACAACGCAAACAGTATTGTTTGAGTTATCCACCAGTAACTTGGTGAATGTGCAAATGAATAACTGAGAGTCACTATCCCAAAGTGTTTCATCTTGACTCTGGACGTTCCGGACAATTTACTAACATACATGAGAAAAAATACTTACAATGGAGTACCTCGACTACTACGTCAACACATCAGTAGATGTAGGAATTAATTACCACCTTGTCGATTTGGCGACCTTGAGTGGCTTAGCTCAAGGAGTCCAATCGATATCAAAAGTGAATCAGGTCATGTTGCGTTTGTAGGCTAGCTAAACTTAGTAGCACCTGTGCTTTTAAATAGACGTATATATTTCATATAACGTCGAATAACAAGCACCCATGCTAATCATGTGTTTTTGTCAAACTTCCAGCTAAGGAAAACCTCTGCTGTGTTGTTTAATTGTCTAATTATGTATAACGATAGGTCATTTTGTATATTTCATCATTTTGCGTTCGCCACAAGTTTATCTCCATTTATTCAATGGCAATTATTCGTTAAGTAGTTCTGAGAGTATTTCGACCGATACTTCTACGCATTTAAAAATCACGCAAGATCTCTGGGTTCTTACTGGCTGATTTCTATAAACATTTAAACTGGAGTCAGACACATACAATACCCCACTCGCGCGTAGTAAAATCACTGCAAACTGAGTCTTTTTGGTAAATGACTACTGCCATTGTCATGTAGCATGTTGTATTAGTGTTTATTCGGAAGCAGGAACGATCTGAAACAACAACACAACAGTCAGAACTGGTAACTGCCTCTGAAGTGAGAACGCGGCGTACTGACACAACAGAGATATATCTGAAAATTGAAAGACGCGGTTCGAGTACAAAAAAAGGGAAGCTTATTACAAAATGGGTTTATTCATTATTCTGCAGGTTCAGCTTGCATAAAGCTTGTTTCTTTTCTTCTAGTACGTTCACCATTTGTTGCCCTGCAATAAGGAAAACAAACTCACATTAGTAACGTCATACGTAATGATTTTTAATACCGTAACAGTCATTCATTTCAAACAATTCGCCGTTATTTGTTTCAACATGTCAAGATTCCTCAATACACTTCCACACTCCTGACTTCAAATTCTTGATTGACAAACCGCTACTTGATTACTTCGTTAGTAAGCCGAAACTACGGCTATGTTGCGCTGTGTGAACATTTGTTGGTAGATGTTTTCCTATGTCATCGAACTGTCCATGGGTTCCCATGTATACATTTAGGTCGGTTACATTCTATTACTAACCTAGAAAATAGGAGCAAACTGTTTTATGAAATTGAACAATACAACAAATTTCGTTATTTCGCCGAAGTCGATGAGAATTCAACTGTTATGACTTTTGCCCTGTTAGTTATCACGCGACAAAATCAATCCGAATACTGACTTATATGACCTTACTCTTGTGTTAACCAAATGACACATCAAGAGAACACTAGCAGTCTTGCGTCAATTCTGGTTTTTATTGATCAACCTTGTCTAGCTTTGCCTAGTTCAGTTCAGAACATAAATATCAATCTCCGCTTTGTAAATCGTATATTTCAGACATACGTGGTTTACACACAAGCAGATCAGACCGCATCACACCGTAGGATGAAAAATATTGATTATACGAGATCAGTTCAAAAGTGACTGTGAGTGTGAGAGACCGTAACTAATAGATTGGGAATAACTTAAGGATTATAGTAAGCAGTTATCCAATAGGAATATGAGTAATAATATTCCATAAATAATTCCTAGCAGTTATCATCCACTTATCTTCTGTCTGTATATCACACCAACCCTTCTCTTTGATATATTTATCGTCTGCCGCATTTCGAAAATATGTTAGCTTACTGTTTGTGGCTGAATCTTGAAACAATCAACTATTTGATTAAACTAACTATGACTTGAGATATCATTCCAGCGTGCAATGAACGTACAGTGTAACGCAGTCAGACGTGGCGAATAAAAATTAAAAACAGAGCAAAATTAACAACATAATCTAGTTATTTAATTAAAAATACATTATGAAATGACAAAATCTGTGGTGACTTGAACGCACAGATGACCATTATTACACTGGGCGATACATCAAGTTCACATGGTTGCGTTGCGGATAAATTCACTCCCGATGTGTATATGTGCTCAGTTATTAAGCGTAAGTTGTTTGATGTGAATTAAATTTTAAGATCTTGACAATATATTCAAAATGCAAGCTCGTTTGATCGTACTCTTTGCATGAGAACAATCAATTCTCAATTCTAGAGTGGAAGAATACTAGTAACCAAGTTGAAAACGCTCATAGACAACGGAAGCGTTAGCTTAAAAAGCAGAACCATAAAAATGACTATAGAAAATCTAGAACTTCATCGACGACCCTAAGTGCAAAGAAGTGGAGCGTTATTGTATATTTTCTAAATATTATGGTTACAATATGAGTTTTATTTCGACTTCCTTGGTATATTTAGGTCCCAGAAATTCTGAAACCTACGCCCCAGTATCTGGCACTGAATGCACCATGATAGGATGTTTTGAACTGTAATTACCTCCATTTTGATGACATTCATGACTCTAACAGCTATGCAGTTCTCCGGTGATTATTCTACATTTTTATCGTTATTATCAAGCTACATGTGTATATTGGCTCAATGTTCATATGACCTCCCATGCATTTACATTGTGCACTCAGTATTTTCTCTTCAATGCATTCAAGAGAATTATTTTGTCACATTTTCAAACATCCTATGGAATAGTAAGTGCTGATTCAGAAATACTACGTTTGCTGGCAGCCAACTGCATGCTGCCCACCGATCACCAGATGTTAGCTCGGAATAACGCTAGACTATAGGCGTTACTGTTCGCTTGTTGCTTAAATTTATAGAAGGAATCAAACTCAGGCTAACTGATTTTTAAATAGGCTTGTGAGAGATAATGACGACAATTTATAATAGTAATAATAATAATAATAATAATAATTTATTCTCAAATAACAGTTTGTTACATGAGGCATGCCAGAAAGGACGAGAGGCAGAGTAGCCAATATTCATGAAGAAATGTTTAAGGTATGATTACTCAGTCTAATTTTCTTTTATTAAGGTATTTGTTAAGAAAGAGCAGTTTAATAGGTTAAAGAAAATAAGTGTTAACAAGGTGTGAGTGAACATACAACTGATAAATGGAGGCGATTCGGAAAGGAGCTGAGAGTATGGGATTATGTGTGATTATAAAATAAAATATAGTGCTAGAAACAGTATTGTGATATACAATTGGCTATCTTCCTTTTATTATCGAAGCTATTAGAGCCCCTTTCGTTTTTTGTATTATCATTTTTTCCAGGTATTATAGGGTCTTGAGTGGGCTTCGTATATAAGCGAATTGTCTAGTTTGCTTGTAATAGGATTTCTGGGTGGGAAGTGAAACCAATTCAACGTTCGTAACACGATTTAAAGAGGTATTTTGTGTGATAAATCAGCATGAATACCATAAGTTCGTGACATCCCACTAAACCATAGGGAGCCGTAATAAAACAAATTGTTCGGCGAGACTCTAATTTAGCGACGAGCCAATCAGAAGCGTTTGAGCAATTTCAAGGTCACGGAGCCAAGTTCAACACGCGATGCTAACATACGGTCGGTTCACAGTGGATTTTAGAGAGGAGGTGATTAATGATAAGTTAAAACAGATGGGACGGCGAAACTCTAATTTAGGGACGAGCCAATGAGAAGCGTTTGAGCAATTTCAGTTATTAGCCAATCAGAAGACAGTATAAAGTAAAAATATATTACAAGAAAGTAATGAATTACAGTGGATATCCTTCTTTTACATGATTTAAAAACTTGTTAAGGTTTGATAAAGATTCAGAAGTTCTGAATTCACAGTGCATATTGTATAGAAACTCGTCCATAGAGTTAGGGTTTGGGGTTAGGGTGAGGTTAAGGTTAGGGTTATGGTTAGTGTTTATGGTTAAGGTTAGGGTTAGGGTGCTAAAATGCGATCGGTTTACATTGGATTTTAGAGAAGAGGCGTTTATTCACAGGCTTCAACCCCAACCCTAACCACAACCCTTACCCTAACCTCTAACGCTAAACCCTAACCTCTAAAATCCGTTGTAAACTGATCGCATGTTAGCACCCTAACCCCTAGTCTTAACCCTAACCCTAGGCTACAACCCTAACGACTAACCCTATGGACGAGTTTCTATACCAAATGTGTTATGAATTCAGAATCTCTGAACCTTTATCAATCCTTAACAAGTTTTTAAACCATGTAAAAGAAGAATATCCACTGCAAATCATTACTTACTTACAATATATTTTCACTTTATACTAACTGTCTTCTGATTGGCTAATAATTGTCAAAGTCATTTAAGATTCGTTCAAAGGTCGTGGCTAAATTAGAGTCTCGCCAATTGTTCTACCCTACAGACATTGGTGGATTAAATTTATCTCCCCACCATCATGCTTGCTGGTCAGTAACGCCACCCTCCCTCCTTTTGTGATGTTAGGCTCTCTTACGTTTGTGGTAAGTATGAATACTGCTTTAATCATAGTTGGAATACACTGTTTCTACTAGGCCCATGTTACAAGCAAATCAGATAGTTGAAAAGTCTGTTTTGTGGGTTAGATGTCCACATAGTATATCACACTGCTATGAAAATAACTAATGGTTTAAAGAAGTAAGGACTAATAGCAAATCAAAAGATATGAGAGGGTATAAAACTGTAGAAAGAAAAAAGAAAAGAAAAAGATTTCAGGGTAAGACAAATAAAACATTGAGAAACTCACAAGACTTTGTGGCCAAATTTTGAGCTTTGTATGATCGGCCTTAGTAGATCAGCATCCATAAGATTGAGCTATCTGTCTACTTGCAGTAGAAAAAAAAGCATGACTTTTAGGAAGAATAATGTACATTTAACCTGTAGAGATTTGGGAACTGAAAGCTAGGGTTAGGAACATAAGGTTATGATTAATAAACAATGAATAATAGGAAAGGATAAGCCATATATTCTGTGGTTTGGTAATATTCATATTATTAACAGTCGAACTTGTTATAATCTTGTTCTTTCTAGATACTGGGCGGTCCGTAATAAAGTGCCTCATTGGTGGGCGGGAGTTCAAGGAAATGTTGAAGCTCTTTGTAGTCTAGAAATAGGGTTATTAGCTTTTTGAATCTGGTAAACGTATCACAGTTGCGGATAGGCATTGGCATCCTGTTCCACAATAAGCTATACCGCACTGTAAAAAACTTACAACGCATTTGTTTTTGGTGTT